AGCAGGAAAGCCTGGCCATGAGCGGCACCGGGACCCTGAAGAAGGGACACAATCATCCCCAGGTTATGGAAGAGCTGAGAGTCTGACTCTAGGAGACAGCGCGGCCGATGAATTAATATTCTACGCCGCGAGTTAGAATCCCGAAATCGCCGATCGTCAAAAATCATTTTAAAATAAAGTTTTCATTGTCAGTTTGATAATGAACGTCACCAAGACTCTAAAGATGGAACACGATCGTTTTTCAGGTGATGAAAAGAAGCTGAGAACCGGGCTATAACGGATACCAAAACTTTTAGATTAAGCTTCTGAAATCGTCGAGAGTTTGAAGTTGTCCGGCGTTATTCGTCATCGGTCTAATTGCGAATGGAACCCTGAAGAGAAATATGACAAGAAAATTAAGATCCCGAAACGAAACATGAAGTCAAAATAAGGAATCATTCCGATAATAATGTTCTCCGTGACACTCGATGGCAAACGGGATAACTCTATAAAATTTTTCTCGAAACGATCGTGACTTTGTCGATAGATAGGAAGTGATAAAGAAAAAAAAAAGCGAATGAAGGACCTTCATTGTTATGCGAGAAGTACGTGTTAATGTGCGGCGACGTAGCTGAGATTTTGTGCCCGGAAGTCAAATCCGCGCTAGAGGCTTTTGTATAGAGCCAAATAAGACTGCGGGATCCGAAAAACTTGGGTCCGGAAGCTTTGCTTCCGTTCGCTATGTCCCCATGTTAGTGGCGACGCTATACTGTTATCGTTTTCTACCTTTCGAATTTGTGCGACCAACTGCCGAAAATTACATAGTCTTTGACGAAATATGCGCGTTAAATAGAACTCTTCACCTTCGAGAGAAGAGAATTTTGGAATAATCTTTCTAAGAATGATTCCAAAAATTGTTCATGTATCGAATCAACGTTAATTTTTATTAATATAACGCACGATTTGTTTAATTACTTTCTTTAAGTTTTGTCTACACATTTTGATAAATATTTTTGGTTATATTACTTAATTTTATTATTTATCTTATATTTATTTTATTTTATTTTATTTTATTAATCCTATTTTATTTTGCTTTTTATTTTATATTTAAGGATTCAAATTGTTGAACATTAATCCCTTTTTTTACGCACACACATGTCTTTTGAACTTTAATTAATTAATTTTTTTAAATAATTATTTTAGCAAAAATTAGCAATATTTCTACACAATAGACTTTTATTTTATTTTTTCTCTCTTTCATTGTTTTTCCATATAATATAGACTGAAGGTTCGAATCGATTTGAGTCGTGCCGATACTATCCTCGTTCTTCCGAGTGATAATGATCATGATAATGATTCGAGTCGCTGCCACGATGACTTATTTCCATGACGTCGATCGTTCAAATGCTCAATTAAAATCTGAACTAACCCTTTCCTTCTCAAAATGATCATGTAATTTGATATTTTCACAATAAATAAATTTGCAATGCAACAATTTTATTAAAATTTGTAATAAAAATTTTGTTCCTAATTATTGCACAAGACGACAATTTGTTATTTTTTCTGCAAAGTATATTATGACACTAAATCATGATAAAGAGTTTTGCAGAAAAGAACGAATAATTATCTGAGAATAAAAGGGTTAAACGGGCGATCGCGTATCAATCGAACAATCTTTTTTACAATAAGAATAAAAGGAAGTCAAATGATCGACGGTACTCAACAGTATACTGCCAAACGATCGCGATTCGAGGAGAAATTGCAGATCGTTGAATGAAAAATCGCGGTTAATCAGAATTTTTGAGAACGAAAAGCTACTGCGATACAAAAAAAAAGAAAGAAAACGTTTTATAAAAATAGAGCAATTGCAAATTTAATCAATTCTTCTTATTTAAGATTTAAACATTTTAAAAAAACTATGCGAGGCAGGCATTCGCATAAGAATTAGCTATATTATACAAACTTTATTGAACATTATTTCTTCAAGTATTTTAATTTTATTATAATTGTCGGTTTCATTATTTTTAAATTTACCAAATTACGAAAAGAAAGAAGGATTAAATTTGGAGTTGTTCAATTTTTCAAGGATTAACGGAAGGTTTCTCACAAACGGCGACAGACTGCTGAAGAGACTTTCGAGCGCGATTTCGACTGTAAATAAGAGTTAATTAAGCTTAAGTCTGTCGCTGACGCGCTGTTAACGAGTGAAGAACCAGCGAGGAGCTCGGGAATAGCTCCGATTGTAATAATATTGCACGTCGACGACAGAAAAACGGTATGTCAACGTGGTCGGAAGCACACTGGACGTAATTTTAAATTTGTATATAATTGACATTACAATAAACTATATAATAAATTATTGATTGCCTCAATCCAACCTTTCCCGAAAACAAAACGCCCGGTCTTATCAGTTCACAAAAAGATCAATTCAAAAATGATGCTATCATTTAATTGATTATTCTTTAAAAAATAGAGATTATTTAAATATAAATTAAAATATACTATTAATATATACATAAAAGAACGTAAAAAAGAGCAATATATTTTTTAATAAGGATGGAGTTTTGATAAAGATATTTCTAGGAATCTCAGAGATTTTTAGCAGAGTAAACGTGCGCATAATTTTGATTTGGTGAACATAAAATTTTATTCTCACTTATTCGTTGAAGCTTTAAGGTTTAAATAGTCGCGACACACATGATATGACAAGCTTGCAAAACTTTATTTGCAAACCTCGATTCGGACTAACACGAGACCTTATCTAAGACACAAGGTACAAAAAGATGAGGTTGATTTCTTTGCCTTTGACAAACGAACCTTACGATCAGAGACGCGCTTTCAGTTTGCTTTTATAATGGCAGTTAAAAGCGAATGCTACCATTCTTTTTCTCTCGCTTTTCTTCGAAACTAATCAGAGATCGCTTTTAAAATTATTAATTAAAAACGTCATGATATGTCATTGTGTGTAATTTGATACATACAATATAAAAATTAAATAGAAATTAGATAGTATAAGATTTAAAGATTTAAATACAAATTGGAAATAAATTATTAAAACTTGAAATTATAATGATGAGGGGAATAGCATATTTATCTTATAATATATATAATATTAACACACACGCACACACAAGATTCACATTTAAGCAGCTGTTAATTGATTTCATTATATTTCAATAAGTACTATGTGCGATATTATATAAAAAACAAAGAGCATTGCCCGTTTCTTCACATCACATAATTACCAGTCATTTTCGTTCCTCTGATCGTGATTCGTTCACAAAAATGTTTATATGTATACAAAACTTGCTATCCTGTATTCTACTTTACAATAATACAATATCTGTGCATGCAACAACTACATAGCGCGAAAGCTGAAACGATAATCTGTTGCTACCCGACTAGGACCTTGTCTTATGCTACAGTAAACAAGAAACAATAACAAAACCGCTCCAAAACAATAACCACGCCATCTCGCAAAATACTTCTATCACAAAGAGAGCTTATTTTGAAATATTTTTATATTTATATTTCTTTGTATAATATACATAATAAGAATCGTAAATGCACTTAAGGCTTCGGTCTAGCCGGAACGTTCGTTTTTGACTATCATCCCGATTTAATTAGCCTAATTAGAGCTAACTGCTGCTATCAAGTTTCTTACATTATATCAGATATCAAATAATAATATTAATAGTAAACATTGATATTAACGTTAAATCAGAATAATATAAATATATTAAATTTAGTAACATTGATATTAATATTAAATATATAATGTTTTGATATATATAATGTTTTGATGTAAAATATTAATATTAATATCAAATAAAACTCTTAATCTTTTAACAATAAATATAAAAAAATTCATAAATTTTATAATTTCTTAGATTTATATTGAATTTTAAAAAATTAATCTAATTGTACATATTAAATTGCAAACAAGAAAAGATATATTCAATATTTAATATTTCTTAATTACATATACGTAGACTGTTTGCCGAAAGGCAAACATTTAACGGCAGTTAAATATCAATTAATTAATGAGCAATTAAAGTGACTGTCCGATTCGTTACACGCCAATAATTTCGACCATTTCGACTAGATCGGCACATACGTCGGTTTACTTATCAGTTACATTACATGTGAAAGACACTGCCCGCAACTTTTTCGTTCTCATCATTCCTTCGATTTTTTCAGATCTCTATCGCGAACATTATATATAACTATTGTTTTATTTTTGCAAAAATCACACATTGCATTTCATTCTTAAAGAACTTATATATAAATGTTTGCAAATTTATAAACTCAATAGCTTTTTTTATTAATTTTCCTTTTTTTATTTCTTTGTGATTTTAAATTATTGCGGGCAAATGTCTTTTGCTGAACAAATTAAATAGAAATACGTCTAAAAAAGGATCTACAAAGCAATTTTATTTTTTAAATCTGGACAATTTTACGAATATTTTTTCGTGATGTAAATGAATTTTGTGCCGCTTAAAAAATAATTGTCTGCAAATCAATTTAAAAGTATATTTTTGAAATATGATAAAAAATGAAATTACTCTCAATTAATTTAATTATTAAATCAATATGTATTTAATTATATAATCTAAATTTTCAATAAATCCCTCCAATAAAATTTAACATATTTAACCTTAACTTATATGTAAAAATCAATAAATTAATTAATATGTAATATTATATCATATATTATATATTAATTAATTATATCAATAATGATGGTGGAATTAATTGGTGAGATGATTGATTGATTCGTAACGTTGGATCATTATATTATATTTGTGCTAACAAATCATAATCACAGTAACATACAAATTTAACATACATACGGTGATGATTACGATGAAGCTTCGCGTGAAAGTAATTGAGTTTTTACATTTTTTTCTAATTTAATTGTGAAACTTGCTAGATTCGTCCTCGGATGTGTGGCCTCGAAATAGTGCTCGAAAAAACCATTTCGCGATATATACTCAATATTGCTGTGCAATAATGTCGGATTAACGCTACAAGACACGTTATATAGGAGCTGGCTAGAGAAACATTTTAGCGCATCTATCCGTTTGCACTATATAAATTTCTTTTAATTTTTAAAAATTAAACATACATATATAAAATTTTATAAAATTTGCTCCATTATTAAAAAGTCTCTAAAAATTTTTATTTTTTACATTGAAAACAAAGAGAAGTCCTCCTCTTTACAAAAATTAATTAATTTTTAAAATTAAATTAATTTTTATTCTGCATTCTAAGTCAATTAATTATTTTATTAATATTATAAATTTGAATTTATTAAATTTTATTATATTTTTTTAATATACGCAAAAAAATAAATATATGCTATTGAATAATATAAAAAAACATTTAAGTATATAAATTTGATATCTTATTTAAAATAATAATAAAACTTGTCGCGATTAAACAATCTTTAAGTGCAAAAGGATAGAGACGTTGCTACAGGGTTTTGTAAAGATCTCGCGTCAAGCACGGCTAATAATTTATTTCTCCGACAAGCCTCGATTAATCATCTTCTAGAGAAATATTCGACGAGTGTTTACGTTTGGCGTAGCGTAGGCATTTCTCTTTGTACAAACGGCCAAACATTACGAATAATCCCAATTCAATTTAATAATTTCTGAAATTTTACTGAAATTTATTAAAACTAATTTAAATGTATTTTATATTTACATATGTATATATTGTTTCTATTAATCAATCGTGTTTGAAAAACCTGAATTTATAGATATTAATAATCTAAATTTGCATATATCTCTATATATAATATAGTTTTAAAAAAAACTAAAAGTTATTAATAATTTAAATTCCTAAATTTAATTATTCACATAATTGAAATGTGAATTAATAACTTTTTAGACATTTTCTCAGACAATTCGTAGTTCTTATATCACTTTTCTTGGAGTGGAAATTTAACAGTTTGATATCCAGAATATTACAAGATTTCAGAAAAGGCGACGGCCTAGAATAAAAAAAGATCGTGTTGAGTGAGTTTGGTCGTTTGTGCGCACTTGCGTATCCACCGTCGGCCTACAGACTTGAATCTCGTTATCAAGTAGAGAGTCGCTTATTATCAAGAGATATTGAAAAACGTCTATAAAGATTCGTAATACACGGTACATTAGAAATATATCCTCGAACAAACGACACTTCGCTTCGATAAACGTGCTGTCTTTGAGAAACTCGCGAACTCATCGTAATTAGCTTAGTATAGCGACTTAATTAACTCCACCGAGGATGATTACTTTCAGTCATACTCTTCCCTTGTGTTTTTTCCTCCCTTCCTGATTTAAGTACACAAACAAACTACCCTTTTGCAAGCTTCGGTGTTTTGTGCGCATTTTTTTAGTTACGTACAGAATCTCCGAACGAAGAGACAGTGTGCTTAAACTTGAAAGGATGTAGCAGTGATCTCCACACTAATCGAAAACCAGATAAATTAATCCTTTCCCCACGACGATTTTTAATCAAGTATAATGCACCTGGTCTTTAATAAAACAATCATTAATATTTTCTCTTTGCAATTGAAAAAAAATGCCATCACGTAATGCTGTAACATTTATTCTTACGAGTAAAATATATTAAAATTATTTTCTGATAATTTCAATCAATATCATATTATTTATTTCTCTGTAGATTAAATTGATTTCATTTTATTAATAAGATTAAATTTATTCAAAGACTAAATTTGGAATCCAATTTTTAATTGAAGATTGCATTTTATGAAGCATTTTATCGTATTATTATATGAATTATAATATTAAAAAATACAAGATTATTAATGAAATGTTTTCTCTTACAAAATCCAAGATTTAATTTACTTACATCAAAGATCTTATTTAAAGGATTAAATACTTTTTATAAAAATTATGATACGTAGAATTCATCAGAAATCGAAAGATAATACTTAAAAATTCTTAATGATCATAAAAACGCCATTACATGATACTTTAGCCCTTTAATCCTTTCGCGCCAATCAGCTAATTTATATTAAAAATATTATAAATTTTATGTTAATAACGATATTTAATTTTTTTTCTATGATAATCGATTTCATAATAATAATTTTTTTTTATGTGAAACTATGTATATGTATTACTTATTATAAAGATGCAATTGTAAAATAATAATTTATAATATAATTATAATATGATTAGTTAAAATACAAAATGTATTCTATGCAAAAAAATCGTTCTTTAGAAAATATATATAATTAGATGCGCAAAAGAAGGAAAAGTTAAATGAGCAAAGAGCTTTACGTGGATTTCTCAGATATCACGCTTTCAAGCTTAAACGTGGAAATACCCTGACAAAAGATGCGATCTCCTTTCTCTCGCACGAAGCCAACGCCCGAATGCAACGCAAGTAGCTAGTATTAGATATCGCTCGAGTTCGTCTAGTAGCACTTGAAACGATACTTAGAGCCCGAAATCGGCGACGAGGGGCTCCCTGTTCCCTTAACGACGTCAGAAGAAGCCAGCAGCGTCTCGCAATGGTATGGTGATTCGTGCCTGGAGATTGACTGCAATTTTTCCGCCCTCTTCTCCCTTCTTGGGCAAAGACGACGAATCCTCCTAGCAGATGCAGCCGCTCTCGCCCTCCGACTCGGAGCCGTTCTGCATCGGCGATTGATTCTGCAAGTCGACAGCTGTTTTTGTGTGTTAAGGCGTGCTGGCTTTTTCAACTTACGTTCTGATCAATTGACAATTTCAACTCGCCGCTCATCCTCGACGCGTTTTTCTCAAAATTCACGAATTAAACAAATATATATGTCTACTTAAAAAAAATTAATTATAAATCATATATTCTAATATATTTTAGATCAGTGCCATGTTTTTTGTATCATGCCAATAGAAGGAAAATGTGTGTTTTGAGAAATAAACTGTTAGAAAACTAATGCAATTTTTGTAATTTGGCAATATTATTGGTCAATAAATACATTATTGCACTTTGTAAACATTTGATTGGTAGTATTAAACTTAATTAATGCGCGTTGATGAGGCGTTACAATGAGCTCTTACAAATCAGATAAAGAGTACATACAGTGTAATTCTTAATGATACTATAATAATGACAAATTTTTTTTCTGGTATTAATCAAATCTCTAGATATTCATCTACTAATCATCTACTGATTCGATAATTATCGCTGCCAAATCGATATAATAGTTTCCCCCTTTAATTTTCCTTTAGTTAATAATTCCTCTCTTTCTCATCAGAGCATATAGATTTAATATTATTACAATATCGCACGCGCGCGCGAGTTAATTCCTATCAAAGCTGAGACAATCGAGTGTATAAAAGTCAAAAACGGGACGGAGAATATTTTCTAGCGCTACTTTTATTATGCGAATTTCTTAAGGTATCGAATCTCTCGCAGAAAAAAATATTACAAGCTATAAAATAAAATAAAAAAACATATATTTTACAAGAAATTTAATTCAAGAATCTAATTAAAATTTGTTCAGACATTAAATTTAATTTAATATTTAAAACTAATATTTTATCAATCAAAACAAAATATATTCATTCAATTCAAATTTAATATAAAAAATAAATATTCTTTTAGATTTTTAAAGAAGTCACAGAACTTTTTATGTTAATCATCAAAAATATTAAAATTAATATTAATAATTTTTTTCTTGTAAACTTGTTTCGATATTTATGTTTTATGATTTTTTTTTAATATCCTAATTTTTAAAAAATAATTAAATAGAAAATCAGCAAGCCAAGCACAAAGCAAAAACAAATAAATTAAAACAGATTTTAAAAAATAAATTCTATTCATTAAGAGAAATAAATTAAAGAATAAAGATAAAATCAGATGGAAAAATAGGACAAAAGGAAAAATAAAAAAAGTCATGGACGTAAAACCAATATGAGAAATAATAGTTTTATAAGATTTCTTTTATATTATTAATTTTAGTTTTCTTTTTACATAAATAAAAATATTACAGTTAATAGAGAAATTGTAAACAAAAGAGACATTAAAACAATTAACTTTTAAGAAATCAAAAATTTTTTTTATATATACATCTTAAATTTTATTTAATATTTTTATATGTGATTTTAGAGAAGATTCTTTCCTTTTTATTTTTTTAAACAAAATTGCGTCAATCTAAAAAGAATATATAAATAATAAATTGTCGAAAGAAAACTTCGAATTAATACCTCGAATAAATGTGGAACTGTACAGGATTGTCATTTATACTACGTACTCTTAAAATATTTGTAGAAAAGAGATATAGAATTAGCTGCTAATTATCCACAAATTCCATAGAAAAATTTCTTTTAAATATCTTCCCTCTTTTTTCCCTTTCTTTTCTTGTCTTTTATTAATTTGCTAATAGATGTCTATTTATTTAAATTTAGTTTGATAAGAAAAATGGTTAATACATTAAGTTTTAGTCATATCTTTTTCTAACATTAGATAGAGCGAGGATTTATATATTATCAGCTATCAGAACTTGATCTTTTGTTGAAAAATGTGATTCAATTATCTCGAAGGGGACTGCATTTACGCAACGTGTAACGTTTACTCTATAATTCGTAATTTTTGAATCAATGCAAATGTTGCTAAATATCGTAAATGCAAATTGCAGCTGTCTTCGTTTCTTTTATTGCAAATGTGTAGGACAATTAATAATATCTCGTTCTTAGAAACGCCGATAAACAAGGATGTGATAAATGCCATTTTTATATCATTTGTTTAATGTGAATTTGAGCAATTATTGATTTAATAACACGAGTAAAAAATACTGTACGATATTAGACAATCTATATTAACAAGCGAAATAAACTTAGGTGAACTTTGAGACCTTAATAAAGGCTATATTAACCCTCCTAGCTTTGATTTATACTATAAATGGAGAAAAGATTATATAATAGAAATAAAAAGAAAAATAAAATTTTATAAATTTCTCTTTTTCTATAAAATATGTAATAAATATAGCATTTCTCTCGTCCAAAAATATATGAAGCACTATCAATAAACTAATAAGCTTTTAAATTAGACAATGCAACAAGTTTTTAAGTAATAATCTTTCAACTCAAATTATTCTTAATTCAAATATATTTCATAGAATTTAATTTTCAAAATTTAAATAATTTAATTATAACATTCACATTGAAATAATTTTAATTATGGTAATAATAAAACATAAAAAAAATTTACTACTTCCAATTTGCTTCAATTTAAAGATCGATTAATATACCTCCTCGCAATCTATTAAAGATGCTCCATAATTCTGGTCAAGAGCATATATAATCACTAATAATTAAAGCCGTGAGGGTTAACAGTCCTTTTTACGATCCGCTAGCATACGAAAACATGTCATTGTGTAAAAGCAGTCTTAAGCTATAGTGTGTGAAACTTTTTTTCTCCTTTTAATAAGAATCGTTGCTGCTTTAGTGCACGTAGCCTTCCACGAGTTTTCCAACTCTGCGAAAAAGCACAGGCCAAATACAATCGGTATCCTAACGTCCTAAGAGTCATTAACTTATAAGTTAACTTAGCTCCGTCTTGTCTACCAATCAGGGCATCGAACGGAAATAAAATAATATATTTCTTTGAATTATCTCAAAGAAAAGTAAATTAATAAATTAATAGTATTAAAATATCATTTATATATTATAATAATCTTATATATATGTTTTTCCTAAGGAAATTTCTCAGACAAAATTTATCGATTTTTTCGAAGAAATCATAATATTGTTGAGTAAATAATAATATATGAATATTATTACAGTGTATAATATCTGTAATATCTGTAATTATAATATATATATGTACATATATATACATGTGATAATATTAATATATCGTAATATTTACTTATATATAAATGCTTATTTCAAAAAATCGAAAAATTAAACCTTTCTCAAGAATTTCCTTTGAAAATTAATTTGTATTTCTCGAAAGAGGTTCCCAAACCGCTCCAAAAAACCGTCTGGGACGGTTCGGGCCCTAGTCGAAACTTAACAAAGGCCCCTTTCGATTCGATTCGATACCCTGCTACCGTACAGGCCGACGACGACTTAGCATGCACAACTGCTCTCCGAGGCTTTCAGTTCGATTGGAGTATCCTTGAGCACTACCTCTTGCACTACGGATTAAAACACGTATTAAGGAAAACATAAAAGTCTAACATAAATAAATGGAAGATCCGGCAAATCGCCAAATAAATCCAGTCCAGAAATTAAGAGCGAGAAATTGAAATGAATGGCTAACGAGTCCTTTTAAAAAATGTGAGAAATTTAAGAATTAAGAAAAGTTAATTTCTTTAACGCTTACACAGAGAGAAATTATAAAACATAAAGATATATTTAATGTCTACTAAGAAATCAGAACATATTATGAGAGAGAAGAGATTAGAATCCAAGGTAATGAAAATTAAATATTTGATGTCTTTTCTAAAAAAAATATTAGATTAAATAAATAAACATGTATAACGCGCGATAAGAACTTCATGTCCAATGTCCTAAAAAGAAGTACTAGTAATTGTGATTAATTAATTGAAAAATGAAAATTTGCAAGATTAATAAAAAGCAACTTGTGTTATTTCAACTCAAAGAAAACATGAATAAAAAGATTCGATAGTAATAAAATGTAGAATATTTTCGAGGTAATCGAAGTAACGGGTGAGATGGGGTTTATGTACACATGAAATGAGAGAAGTCGCCGCAACGTTCCTGCAAATGTGCCATGCAAATTGCGTGCAGTAAGTATCTTACGCAAAGGATACTGTCTTCGGGTGGCTTGTTTTCGGTGGAGTCCATACCCGGCAAAGCCGCCGCTACTCTTCTAAATAGCTAAAATAATTAAAAACAATGGTAATTCTCCTATTCGTTCTTCCACGCCATCGCCATCAAGAAAAATCTCTCCGTACATGGAATGTGAATGAAAAAAAAAAAAAAATAATCACCTGTTTCACATTGTAGCCAGCCTTAGCACTAGTTTCGATAAACATCACATTTAATTCCTTTGCTTTCCGCTCGCCCTCCTCTGTCGAAACTTGCCTCTTATCACTCAAATCTGTTTTATTGCCCACTAGCATAATTATCACATCACTTCCTCTTTCAGTCCGCACATCGTCTATCCATTTGGATGTTTGGTGAAACGAATTGGCGTCTGACAAATGTGCAATCTTAATTTCATCATTCATTTATCGGGTGTACCAATAACAGCGTTTGCCAGCAGCCAAATTTATGTTATTATGTTATTACATGTTTTTGATTAATATCGAATAAATATATGTTTAAATAAATTATAATCTATAAAAATTTTGGTCCGAAAGAAAAATCTCTCGAAATTAGTGTATTGCTCCCGGGAATTTGTTAAAAAAATTTTCTTTTAATTGAGAAGAATTAAAATTTAAGAATCCAGAATTTTCAGAAAGATGACATTAAAAAATCAAAGCTTAAACAAAATTATGTAAAATTTTTTATAAATAAATAACGAATAATGTTAAAAAAATATATGTACTATTCACGAGAGAATTTTACATTCAAGCATCAAACTCGAGACTGCTGGCACACAGCTTTCTAAGACACCGTATATTCCTTATATACTTGATGCTTACTAGTAATATCATAAACAACAACAGCGACTGTGGAGTCTCTGATGTAACTAGGTATCAAAGAACGGAACCGTTCTTGCCCCGCTGTGTCCCACAGCTGTAGTCTGACAGTTCTATCCTCGAGATACATAGTTTTGCTTAAGAAGTCTATACCTATCGTAGCCTGCAACATATCGGTATGTCACGATATTAAAAATTATTCTATTAATCATATAAAACGATGAAAATGCAAACAAATCGAGCTCAGAAATAAACCTTAGAAATAAAGAAAAAAATTGAAGCTATATTTGGTATCAAGTATTGACACTGTATTTATAATTTGAAATAATAACAATAAAAAATAGTAACAATATCTAATTAATTATTATATTAACTATATACACATATATATAATAGAAATTATGTTTAAAGCAATATTAATAATCATATTTTTTTATTCCTTCTATGTGTATTTTCTATGTATTTAAAAATTTATTATAATATAATCTAAAATGCAATATAATTTATTATAAAAGTGCATAATATTTAATAATAATAATTCGAGAAATAAATTATCAGTGTTCTGCAAATTTCTCCATCTCTCTTTCTATCCTTGTCGATCAGAAAAAGTCGATATCTCGATTCCCTACTGCCTCTCCTGCTAGCATTACGTCTATTCGTTCTAACTGTACTTTCTTACACCTTCTGCATTTGAAATATTCATAGTTACATGCATTCTGAAAATGATATAAAAAAGAAACGAGCGAAATATGTAGAAAGTGCAATTGATACAAAAAGCGAGCGAACAATCCGAAACATAACAAATTACATTTGACAGCCATGTTTCAATGGACATGTAATTAAAAATTAATTTGACGATAATTATTTGACGATAATATTGCATGACAGTTTATAATCAAATACAATGGTTCTCATTCAATGTAGGTTTTATCAGGATTGATAGCCGGTTTTACTATCGTGACAAATAACGCCAATAAATGACAGCTGAACTTTTTCAACCAAAGAAATTATCTCTCACACAAAAATTTATCCATTTTTAACAAAACCCGATATTACGGATAAAATTAAATAAAAAATTAAAATATAGATACAACAAAATTTTATAAAATTGATTACAAAATTTAATTTAAAAAAATATAAATTTGAAATAAAGATTTAACAATGTTTGCATGTAAAATTTAAAATATTAGTGTATTGTCCTATAAGTTTAAAGCATAAATAAAGCCTACAATATTTTCTATGTAATCTATATACAACATACATACAATAAAAAAAATTTTGACAAAAATTATGCAGATTTAAAACATGCAACAAAAATGATCAATTTACACTCGATTTTAACAATTAAGAGACGATTAAATCGTTACATACCTGGTATGTGTTGTCAAAGCTGTCGTACATAAACCGTGTAATAAGTGACGTCTTCCCGACTGCAATAAAAAATTGCATGGCTCATTTATTCAACTCACATTTGCAACTTTAAATTTCCCTCAAACTTTTATCTCAAAATTCCAGTTTTATAGCTTTATTTTAAATTTTAATTTCTAAGACTCTCGGGGGAAATGATCTTCCTCTTTTAAAATTTACATCTTTCTTACATTACGATCTATCGATTAAATTTTTATTGTTAGCAAAATTAATATTTAAATTTTCTCCCTGTTATTATAATAATAATGGAAAGATGTTGAAAGAGCATTCAACTCGAAAAGAAGTTTCGTCGAGAAACACTTTAAAAATCCGCTTATCGCTCTGTATTTAACGCTAAACGCGCCTATCGAGATACAACCCGACGTACATATACTCGATCATCGTATTTAAACGCTGCACGCGCGATCGAAATGACCGAGAATTTAAAACACAGCGACGCGTCGCCGTGTAGTCGGCGGCAATGGAGAATATTGATCTATAACCTAGAAGGGTACCAGACGAAGGGTAGTCACCCCGATTAGGGGCCTGCTGACCGAGGAAACCGGGTCTCGCGTCAAGCGCATCCCACTTGAGGGAGATCGATCCGTATTCGAGGAACACCGCGACGCGAACACACACTGTTAGCACACTGCTATTGGGACACTCACCGCTCTGCTCGCCCAAAAAGACGAGCTTGAACTTCCGCAACGGATTGCCGAAATCGCCCGAGGACGACATGTTTTGTCTCTCGCTCGCCTGAAACGGATACTTGGCAGGCCTGAAGAGGGTTCCGGTAACGACGCAGGCAACGATAACACGCTCAATGGCCGGCCCGCCGAGTCATTTAAGCCGATCAGCTGCGCCGGCTGATTCAACAGTCTCTCCGCTAGCTCTCTCGGGTTCTACAGCTTGACAGCTCGCGACGCTAGCTTGGATGCCACTCCTTGCGGCCACGTTTAACCGGGAAGTGACGTAGCGACGACTGGAAAGCGAAGTGGAAAACGCGGCGCCACCGATTTCCGGAAGGGAAAGTGTGTTCGGTAGAACACAGATGTTCTCATGTGTAAGCTATATAATGTTCCCCTGGATAAACCAATTGAAAATCGTTCCTAAGCGTTGGGAAACAATATGGTCGCTAACACTGATACTGAAATTACAAAAGGAAACAGATAACATAATTTATGAAGCTTGTCCCTTTGAATTTAGCCGATTATTCTAAAATATTCGCTCAACTTTTACATTTTTCTTTCATACTTTTGCAAATCTTAATTTAAATTACAATTTTTCATCACATATAATTAAATTTGAGCGCCATTTTTGATTGGGTTAACGCCATTGTACGTCAATAACATACTCTCTTAAATTAAATCAGTAAAAATATTACTGATTAAAACAATAATAAGATTTTACCGAAAAAAACGCTCATACTTTGCTTTTCCGTCTTATGATTCACTGATTACGACAACATGATATAAAAAAGATATAATAAAGCTAAATTCATCTACGTACGTATCGAAAAAAATCTGCTATAAAAATTAATTTAATATATTATTTTATCATATTGTTTACTCCACAGATGAAATAAAAGTCGCCACGAAATATAATTAAGGATCGAATTCTACTAGAAAATGTTGGTATAATTATATACAAATAATCCCATCTCTCTAAATACAAAAAAAAAATCCTGGAACGGCTTTTCGCGGTAATAATAATTATTTTTATTTTTTACATTTATATACACGCCATATACACACGCATAATCTCGCACGCATACATTGGTACAAGAAGCACAGACAGCCATTACATATGTACACATCACAGATTTCCATACAGCATCCCTTTTCCCTCTCTCTCAGACGGGCTACTGCTGGTGTATCCGATTGTTGTTCGAATTTCTATAGGGATCCTCCACAACGATGGAATTGCAGATTAGATCGTAACCGGTTCTGTTAAATCTGAAGAAAAACAACGAGAAGCAGATCGGGAACAAAAACGCCAGCACAAAGTTTTTCACCACCGATCGACCCAATGCCAACGGCAGACCCAGATCGGTCCCGGGACTCACCAGGACCACGTCCGGCTCATTCGGACGTTCCACGGGGGTTATACTTCGGCATTGAACCACCCGCAAGCCCATCATGTACTTGCCGGGAGTGGCGCCTCCGATGAAACCGTACACACCGTGTTGAAGCCAAAAGGCCTGAAAAAATAACAATTACAAAAATTAATTTTATAAAATTGGATTATATTAAAATTAAATTTTCTTATTTAAAATTTCATTTTTTACAGGATAAATTATTTTTAAAAAATACAGCTCGATTAGTTTTTCACGAGATTCCGCAGACAAGTCTCTTACCTCAAAGATACAAACTATCACACGATGAATCACTTCCAAGATCAGAATTCCATAAGTCATTTCTAAAGCCATTTTGTAATCAATACGCAAATTAGTTTGCAATAAATCCAAGTCTTCAATTTCTCTAAAAAAGTAAAATTGCAATTTATGAAAGATTGTAGTATATTGTAAAAAAAAATCGTATATTATATAAGAAGGAAAGAAAAAACTTTTTTTTTTAAATATGAGAAGTTATTAGAATAAAATATAAAAAATAAAAAAAGAGTTACTTATTGCACTGAAAAGAAAGACGTAATAGTTTGGTAATATTTAGTACAAATTTTATCAATTTATAATTTACAAAAAGAAGAAACCTATAAACTTTCTTATATTACTAAACTGCTCGCATCCTTTTACATACATAAAATCGAACACGTCGATTGCGATAAAGGTGATGGAGAACTTCAAAAGAAATAGCATCGTTGAGTCTATAAATTCCGCGGCGAATCTTTTCCAAATCGGAGGAACGCGATATTCGTAACCTAAAATAAATAAGTTTAAGGTTAATATAAAACAGACGTTTTCCACACGATATGTGTTTTAATAATTCTTCAATAGGATTTCAAGCAAAATTTTAACCTTCAGCTCCAGGGGGTTGGAAAGGACCCGGTTGTTCCTGCCTCCTTTGTCTCACTTCCTCGTTCTGTCTGTCTGTATTTCCAATTATCACTCCTGGTCTATTCGATGCTGTTGGGCCTTGATTTGGTTGAAAGGCTGTTGAAGCTGAAAAAATATTATGTCTCTCATCAAATAAAACCAATATTTTTAAAAATAAAGTTATTTATCTTGACAAAATTTTAAATTTAACTAAAATTGTTATACATATATTGCACATCCAGTAATAATTTATTACTATATATATAATATCAAAAGAATATAATGTTCCTTATTTTTGAAAATAGATGTACACAGAATTTTATTTTTTCCAAAATTTATCAGTATTTATTTTATATGCATATCTTTATTGAAAAATTTTATAATTTTTTGATAAAATATTTTAGATTATATAATATAAATTTAAAATTGATAAAGCTTTCTCTTTAAAAAAATTTCTTCTAGATAAAGATATTCTTATTTATTCTTAATCTTCGACATATAATTAATCAAAACGACTCGTATTTATTCATACCGGGTGTCGGATTCGCAATGTGTCCCGACATCACGTAATAGGGAAACATCGCTGCAACACTTTGCCAAGCGTACGCCTCCTGGAGCCATTTCTCCAATTTTTTAAAATACCGCGATCTCTCCTCCGCCGGATCCAATTTACTTTCCGAATCTCGCTCCAGCGTGTCGTCGTTTTTGTCGTCTGCCATTTTGAGTTCTCGCTTTGCCTGCGAAAGAAAACAAATCGTTTCGTCACTCGACGTGGAAGCTGTCAGTCAATGTCGCTGATTACTCCAAAATTTTCGCCTCTCTCGATCGGAGCACATCGGCAGAACGTAACAATTGACGGATGACGATTGTCGCAAATCGTCGACTAAATCGCCGATTATTTTTTTGTCGCGATCAATCAACAAACGCAACTATAAAAGGTGTCAAAAGAAGATAAATAATTGCGCCGACAACACTGTTTAATAAAAAAGTAGTGGCAAACACGGCTCTCCTTACCTCTGTCACAATCAAACACTACGCATCTACGCTCGTATGTAAACTACGCGCCAACTATCACTATCCATCACTGACGTGTATAATAGCTACTGGATATAATCGAGACGTTTTTTGCCGTCGAGATAGACCAACGAAATTCCGTCACGACAGCTGTCGGCTTTTCCCCCAGATTTCATCAGTCGTAGAGGGAGAACTCTAGGCTGATGCCCAAGATGCATTTCTGATCCAAGTGCATTTTATGAGGGTGAAAACATAAGGTAAAATATTTTCTATCGGAGACTTTTGAAAAATAATTTGTTGAAATTTATAATAATTTTTTTATTATACGAAGTCATCTGATATTTCCCTCAAAACTTTTTTAATGGTATGAAAAATTTTCAATCACCACGTGCGTTACATATATCATCTGCTGGTAAAATATACGAGCTACGATTTAATGAAAACTTGGACATGTTTTTAAAAACATTTTGACATAAAGATTTGGAGTACTTTTGAAGATTTTTGAGAAAAATACTTTGTAACATCTCGTTTTTTTATATTTTTGTGTATGATTTTAAGAGGAATTGTCTAAAAAAAGTTTCAAGAAAGATGTTTGAAACTGACCTCTAGTATTAAAGACAGGTACCAGAGAGAAATTTATGACTGCATGAAATTTGTCCGGAATCATTTTTGTCCAAATCATTATTTCACTAACGAATCCACTAGCATTTATAGTAAATATAATATAAAGACAAATTATGTTTCAATCTTTTAAATTAATGTTACGTTATTTTATATATTCTTCATATAAGATGTAAATTTAAAATTACATTCTAATAAAAAAAATTATTAATTTTTAATTTAATAAGAAAAAGTGAATATAATTTAATAATAACTAAATATAAAATGTAAGACGTATATATTATAATCTAATAGTACTAAAAAGACACACACATAGAGATATAATTTAAATCACCTGCCTAAACTTCAGATAAATCTTTGGTAAATGAGATTTTTTTACCTGCGAGTTCTCTCTATGACTTTATTAAAAAAAATTTTTTTTATTCAAATTTTGGTTCAAGATAATCGTTTGTTTTATTGTAAATGTGAAAAATCTAAAAGAATTATACAAATGGGAAAAACAGGTATGTAATGCTAGTAATTTTCTGTCCATCCAACACTCTGGACAAGTTCAAATTAACTTGTTCAGGACAAAAGTCGAAACTAGGTGGCAAAGTAAAAAACAACCCTTGCGTTCAACTCTCCTTCATTAATTTTTCCCTCCATTCAAACACCCGTTTGTTTCATTTGAAATCCCAAATAAATTCAAGCCATCCGTGTGCCTAGGGTCCAGATCAGATATTCAGGGGAAATAGGAACTTTTTTCCATACCCGACCGGCCGCAGAACAGGCCGCAGAAGGCGCTGGTTCTTGGTTCTGCGCGACGTGCCTGCAGCTTCGATTCAGTAACCACGGTGCGCGTTTCCGACTGATGAGCGGGCACAGCGGGACCAGAGCGGGCATCCTCTTTGTGCGCGAGAACCCTTCGCGATAAATAAGACGGTGGTATTGGCACGCGGGCGAGTCGCAGGGGTGAGCGTCGCGTGGGAGCGTCGCGCCGTCGCGACGCGTCGCACCACGGCTACGGTGACAACCTTAGGAGGAGCGTCTGAGAGACCGAGGGTGTGGACCCGCAGAGGACAGCGGGACCTTAGGTAAGGTCGAGCACCGCATCCGCATCACGCCGGATGCGTAGAAATTCCATTTTCCCAGCCGAAAATGGATCGGTATCTATCGTCATCTCATCGCGATCTTCTCGTTTTCTCTCGCGTTTGGCGTTTCGACGGCCCGCCTTTTCGTTTCGGAGGCCTGGACACGGAGCCTCCGAAAGGAGGTCCGAGATTTCACTCTTGTCCGAAAAAGGATTCCTCGCCGCGAATATTTACACGCGCGAGAAAGAAAGAGCGGCGGATCGTTCCCGCTCCTTCTTTGAGTCATTCCAACGGAACGCCAGCCAGCCGGAATTCCGGGAATTCTGGCGACTCCGAAAAACCAAAGTGACCTGCCAAGTGTGCGCGCGCTCGTAAACAATTCTATCGCGTTAATGAAACGCTAGCCTTATTCTCTTTTTTCGTAAATTATTTATAATCACATACGTCTGCGATAATCCTTCAGAAAACTAAAAAAAGGTGCGTTGAGTCTATTTATTATATCTAATTTAATTTTTATTAATTTTGTTACAATCATAAAACGCTTAGAAAATGTGATTCTTGGAAGATAGATATTTGTTTAAAATCTTCTCTTTCTGTCTGCATAAACTTTATACATCTCAGGAAGCGTTCTAGGATTTACGGCCTGTCAGACAAATTTACACGTAACCATATAAAGCTGTATATATACAGAGAGGGAAATAAACCAGCCGCAATTCTCCAAAATAAAGGATGCCATATTGTTCGGTTCTCTGTATATTCGCTGTACGCTTTATGTAGAAATAATCCAGCCGGATGTGTCTTTATTGCGGGAATGTCCGGACCGTTTGTTTACGGCATTAAACCACGTATCGCACATCCGGTTCAGGACGATAGAGAACTTTTCGAAGCGGGATGAGGGAAATCTCGTGGACTTTCCCGAGTGAATCTTGCCGATCTCAAGGCTGTTCCCCCGGGATTTCATCTCGGTGAATATTAAATAGATACGTGACGCGTATGGAACTTCAACGAAATTTAATAAAATTTAATAAAATTATACGTAAAGAATCGTTCTCGAAACTGTGGCATTTTATTTTACTCGCCGTTTCTGGCGTGACGGATTATTCGATTAAGAGAAGAATTTCATCTCTATCATTGTATAATAGCACATTCTGATGATTGTCATTAATTATTGTCTATTGTTATTATCAAAGACTTCTTCGCGGCTGCCGGATCTTCTTCTGGTTTTCACTTTTATCTTCGCGCGTGATTTACGTAATAATAATTATCTTGATTAACAATAGCAATTTACGTATCTTTTTATGTAACAGTTTACATTAGATAACAAATTTCAAGAGAAAAATCCCGACTAACTAATGTAATTACGAGTATTTTATAGGCACATCTCGCCCAAATTCTTTTACTCATTTTACTTGAAAAATCTCTCTCCTTTTTTTCTTATTTATTCGCACTATTAACATTAATTTATTTATTTTATTTTAACACTTTTACAATATTTTCTCAAACCAAATGATATATTATTTGCTCATACTGTTAAATATGTAAAAATTTGCTCATTATATAAATTTATTAATATTATTATAAATTTTATTATATTAATACAATATATCGTCGTAATTCCTGCGAGTAGTATTGAAGCAGGCTTTGTTTACACGGCATGAATTTACGGCGTGCATTCACCCGAAAATGCTCATTTATAAAAGCCGTCGACACGAGCGCGATGCGGCGCGATTATCGTTATCGATGCGAGTGGATGCTCTCTTCCACAAGTTGCGTGATAACGGGACGAGGAGTGATGCAGGGGAAGGGGGGAACAAAAAGAGAGGCAGGGGAGTCGAGAAATATGTATGTTTAACCTGCTATCTCGGGCGAGACATCATCAATGTTGCATCCACAATCGCGTGGTTTCTGACCCGCGTATCGAAAATCGAACCGACAGGTCGCCTCGTCTATCGCGTTTATCGATCGATATATACCGCCCGCTTTTCACCGTCGCTTTTCCACGTAACGTTAATTGCACCCAGCCGGAAAATGCACCGGAGATGCATCGACGCGTATTCTCTCCTCCGCTGTCGATCGGCACGGTTCGCCGCGATTCGAAATCGATGGACGCTTGTAAAAAAGTACGCTAACGTTGATAGATATCGATGTGATAAGTCTCCCTCTTTCTCTCGGATGGAAAATTGCCAAGAAAATTGCTGCAATGGATGCACTTTGGAGAATTTAATCCTTCGCTTTGTATCCTTGGATGATTTAAATATTTGTGTTTTTTCCTCTCTCTCTCTCTCTCTTGTCTCGATAAGGAAATAAATGACGATATCTGATAAATTAATGATTAATGCATCATTAAATTCAATGCCATATTTGATTAAATATAAAAAATTTTAAACAAAAATACATTCTAAAGAAACATATTTAATATTATAAAGATTACATAAGTTTCAATATTACAAATACTGAAGAAATTATCATTGTATAAACTATTTTATAAAATTTTAGATCTCTCTCGTTGATGCCATCGGTATAAATAAAGCATATATATATCTTTTTCTTCTTCTACATATCTTTTACAAGAAACAGATATCGTTTTATATTCCTAGAATTTATTATCATCATTTATATTATCTGTCATTATTTTCTATTTTTTTAATTAAATCCGTAATCTCTCTCGCGGCGTTTGCGGCGACGATAAATACATTATAATCAAATATAAACATAAATTGTGCTTCTCTTTTTGCCATTCATTATCGCAGACCATCGCAGCGTCCTTGACGTTATCGATGATCGATAGCCAGATTTCCAAAGACACGGCGATTAAATAAGGCAATTAGCGCGACTTGCACAATGCATAAACGTGTCCAGCCAATTGCCTATCGGCTTTACCTCTTATTCAATAAAGACATTTATTATATTCTACCATGAATGGAATGCAACAGTTTGTCGCGCTCAGAATTAAAATTCGCTAACATTCATTGCTTCTTTACCGAATGCATAAATTAAACAATAAAAAATACCTATTTAATTTAAAATTACATAATTTTTAATATTATTACTTACGTATTAAATAAAGACAAAACACAGTAATCATGTATTTTTAAAATTGAGTGCAATATATTTTTTTTCTCGAATAAATAAATAACTACGTATAATTTTTTCATTTCATCTAATGATTAAAAACGCAATGTTTCCTCGGAAACAATTTACTCTCGTCGTAATCTTTCCCGCCGTTAAATATCCCTCGAGACTACAGGGTGGTCGAAGTGCACGAGACGACGCTCGGATCGATATTCGTATTCTGCAAAGTCGTGAGAGCTTTAACTTAATCCAGAATAGTTTAATCATGCGAAATTACGCACCCTAACTTCGTTAACTCGTTCCGGTCGATGTGATTGCTATTGGAGGCAAAGTATGAACAATTCAAATCATCAAAACAGATCGGATCTCCTTAAAACCCGAGACTCTGATTTTATTCAATAACGGAGATATTTCTTTCATTATCGGAGAAATTTTCTTTAATTATCGAATCGTTGCGTATATGAAGTATCGGTTTTATATCAATAATACTCTTCACAACGCGTGGCTATCCGATGATTATTGAATTCAATTATCGAATCACATATCAAACGTGCCAGATGCGAGGATACAGTGAATACATAGAAATTTAATTCTGCCACTTGTATACGATTTCTGACGAAGTTCTGTCAAGGATACTTGAAATTGTTGCAAAACCAGAAACTAAGGAAGAGCTTAATGCCTTACCTGTTAGCCTTGACGCGACATTCAATATAGCTATTACACGCTTACATAGACAGTTAAATATAAGAAAGAAAACATATATATACACGAATATTTGTTTATCAAATCCCATTATTAATACAAACATTTTTCTAAATTAATTATTAAGATTCTTATAATCAAATATTATAGAATCTAAATATATTTTAATTCACACTATTTTGACGAAAAAATTCACATGTTTTGTCATCTTTGATATCATAATTCAATTGCAATAAAGGAGTTGGAGCCTTCTAAAAACAAGGCATTTTATATTTAAATTGACGAACGTGGGAGCAAGTTTTTTTAAGGTGTCCTTTCGTTCTACAAAATAACATGTTAAAAAGAGGCTTGATATTTTATCGCTCCGCGATCTTTTGGGATGACACAACCCGCAAGGTAACGCGATACGCGTTACCTCGGTGTAGTTTATCATTTATCATGGACCATTCCATCATCCCTGACTCGTGCGACGCAAAAGATCGCAACATGGCCCGTCGCGCAATACGCTAGATAATGACTAATATAAATCCTGCAACACACGACGGCAGCTCGTTTATAAAGCGTGCGTGTGAAAATTTCCTGCTCAATTTCCCACCGATCGCGATATTACCCCCTGGTTATATTCGCGAAGAAAGATTGAACGACACTAATAAGAGTGTGAAAAAAAGAGAGCATTATTTCATTAATTCTTTGAGATTAAAATCATGAATGAAAAGTATCGTGAATATCGATTAAAATTCTAATAAGGCGAAGCTCACTTAATCCGATAATGTATGAGATTATCGTTCCATAGAAATTTTCACTACGTTATTGCGATAATTTTATTGGAAAGGAAAAAGTTCCGTAATGTACAATGTTACGTGATCTTTCAAGTTTATTAAAATTAAATTAGAAATATATTAACATGTATGTATGATTTAAAATTATGTGTATTAAAAGAATTACTCGCTATTGGCAGACAAGGTCTTGGGGAACATTGTATATTCTTTCTCTCTTTCTCCTTCTCTCTCTTGTTAAGTAACTTGTATGTGTGTGTGTGTGTGTGTGTGTGTGTGTATGTATGTGCTTCGCGTAAATAAGTTATTTCCGGCAAAATCGACCTGCCGAACGTTTTGAAATACGAAAACTAAACTTTCGTATATGGTTTGACATGTTTATAGACAAATACAAGGTTCGAAAAATTGCTATGAAATCTTTCTCGACTGTAAAAATTTTTGCGAAACGTCAAAATGAATTTTTTCTCTGCTATAACATTTAAATCTTACTTATTTAATCAACTTTCAATTATTTCTCTTAGTTTCTTAATTTTAAAAAATGTTTAACATTATTTGCTAAAAAAAATTGACCAATCAAATCCACTTAAGAAACAATCGATTCCATTAGTCAAAGAATCTTATTATATGAGGCGAGAATCCTCGACGCTATCCTGAATAATGGGATGAAATGGAATGGAAGAGCAGCTTCTGAATAATTTAGTTTTCTCAATCGGAGAAGCTAAACATCAATCAGGGGCACCCTGTATACAGAATAATGACGTCAACGGCGATTGAGTAGTATGATTCCCGGTAGTTTTGCGCCGGTTATAGAATCACGGCAATAAGTTATAAGAGCGCTATAAACTGCGGGCGACTTAGAATGCAATGCCATTACTCTGTTCGTTTCTACGTCGTTTATTCGCCATCAAAAGCACAATCAGGCCTCGAATTCGTATAATAAAAGCTCGTTAAACAATAGCGGATTATCTACGAGATGGCGGAATAATTGGACTATACTTTGAAATTGACTGACAGTTCTCATTATAGAAATTCCCGCTCTCGAAGGAGAAAATGAGAGCAATAATTGAAGTGTAAAATATGTAATGTAATGTACACCGAATGATAATTAATATCCATCCTCTTCTCAATCGTCATTTTAATCGTCTTAATATTGAACTAAACATGGGAAAGCATAATTAAAACAGACAATTGCGAATTGAATAATTTGCTTTTCATCAATTTAGATCCAATAATTTAACAAATTCAGAAAGAGATAATCTACTGAATAAATATTAATAAAATACCTTACACATGCAAATATTTTAATTAATATTTATGTAAATATTAATTTGACACGTCGCTCTCTCCTTTTAATTAATTAACTCTTAATTTTATTATATCGCGAATAAATACACATGAGGATGTACTAAATACTATATATATATGTAAATATATAATATAATAATAAATAAAGTCTACCGATTTTTCAATTTATGTTTCTGGGCGTAATTGCTTCTTTTTTCTTTACGTTCGTTTGATTTTTGTTGGATTGCGATAACGAGCGCCTGTTCGAGCTAGCAATGCCGAACATTTATTCCAGGGCATGCAGATAACACATGTGAGTGACGTCAAATGAATCGTAAGACCAACTTCCGTCCATTGAGCATGCAAAAAGAAAAATTTGCCCTGAATAATTCAAATTATGGGACAATCATCACAAGAATTGCAAATAGCTAACGAACAAAGAGTCTCCAAAATGAGATGTTAGATTAACATCGTACTTTCTTCTATTTTCAACATAGAAAATATATTGAGACGTACATATGTTACGTACAGAATATATTACGAAAAGTTTATTTTTATTACTATAAATATCTCTAGCGTGAAATTTTGATTATAATTAAAGGTAATATATATACGTCAAACAAATAAATTGTTATTAAAATAAATAAAACTTGTGTGCTGAGTCTATTTTCGCTTTATCTTCGCGATGCGGAAGATACTCGAGAGTCTCTGCTGATTATGGCGCACAAATTGATAATGAAGCGTGTATTTCGATGCTCTGCGATAACATTTGGCACAGTGACGTCAAATGCGTACGTAAGTTCCCTGTTCCTTTGCGCTGACCCGTTACATCGACAGTAGACATACAACACAATCTTATATTCTCGCATGCTTTTCATTATATATGGTGTCACGAAAAAACAGTATTAAATAAAATATTTGAACATTCAAAATATATAATAAAGTAACAAAAAATATATATAACAAATATATATAAATATATATTATAACATCTTTATATATAGATATCTTTTTATTAATTAATAAATAATTAATTTTATATATATATATATATATATATATATATTTATATTAAGTTTAATATTTTATACATATAGAATGGACTGAGCGTGGCGATAGACAAACACGCGCTATATATATATATATATTAGAGAACCTTTAAAAGAATACAAATAAAAAAACAAAAGGCAGGATAATTTCCTGAGAAAAGTAATATATTAAATAAAACGCGATATTATCTTCTAAGGATAAATAATAAGTTAAATATCAAGATATTTTTTTACAAGAGAGAAATAAATTGACTGGCGTAGTATAATAGCTAGAAAATTAAATAGCAGGGATATTTTTCTCTTGTAATTGACCATTCTTTTCCTTAACAAAGTTAGTATTGATTTTTGCTCAAGTGTAATTTAATCAGCGATTTAATGGAGAGACTGTTAAGTACGGGTGAATACAAGAATGTAAATTGGTAACACAATCTTACGTTTTGATTAATTCAAAGTAAATTTTGCTGTAATGAGAAAAGGAACTTTATTATCTTAATATTCTCTGAAAAATTAAAGAAAATGTTATTTTGCCCGCAATGTATAAGAAGAAAAAGTTCAAATTTTAATTAGATTCTATAAAAGTTTGAACACATCAATCGGGATTTGCACGACACACGGTACAGGATCCATTTCGTCTGATATTATATCTCGCGTTACATTCGTCATTCGGGCATCTGTGTCCGATGGCGGCACGCGGCGTGTAAAACTCCGCGAGTACGAATTATTGTACCGGCATTATCGTATTAAGTATTATTTGAGCGCCGATTGAAATTGACATCCATTTGCCGGAGTACATCAGTACAAGCTCGGCGTTGCTCCGAAGCGCTCCGACATCTTTCACCGCGATCGCATTTTTAATATAATTTTGAAAAAAAATCTAGTGCAAACAGTTTATTATCGCGACAATAGAAAAGCAATAATAAAAATAATCTGAAAAAGTTGTGAATATTTATATAAAGGAGCAATATTTCCTGAAATGCAGCGGCGCAAATACGAGATAAAATTTTTTAAGAATAGATAACATATCACATCATTGTTTCTTTTTACAAAATCAATTATTTGCAGAATTTTTGAAGATAAATATATGACAGGAAAGAAAGGAGAGGAAGTTTTGCGTGTTACAAAAATAATATGAGAGATATATAATTAAAGCAAATAATTCGGCGCTAGATTACATTTTAGTCGTATTCATAAATATTAATGACACATAGTGTCTCGTAATTAAATTAACTGACTAAAATAAATACAAATCTCTGCATCAAAATGAAAGAACTAGGAGAGAATATAATAGAGGTAAATATAGAAAAGAATATTTTAATATTAGACATTATCAAAAAAGGAGGAAAAAAAATATATTCTATGATTCTATAATACGATATAATTTAAAAATATGATTCTATATATAATTATTAAGAAATTGCTTTATCGCGATGATTTTGCAGTGGGAAAGCTCGGAGTCGGACTTCTCAGATACTGAGGACTCAAATGAGTTAGGAGCCAGAGTTAGCCCCGAAAGCAACGCGATGGACACTATAGATAGTGTCAACAAGCGACAGGCCACTCGTGTCTTCAAGAAATCCAGCCTCAATGGCAAGATCACGGTCTATCTCGGCAAGAGAGACTTTGTCGATCACATCACGCACGTCGATCCGATCGGCAAGTATCCATCATAATTAATTCACGCGCACATCCTCTCACGCAGAAATGACGTATATACTCGGGATGTGTATTTTTTCTAAAATAACTATTGCATATGCAATTGCATGACTTCATCTTTTCTTTGAATCTCGCGATAAGAGAAACGGTTTCGACGATTATAGACGGAGTCGTCCTGATCGATCCCGACTACATAAAAGAGCGAAAGGTGTTCGGTCACGTTCTCGCGGCGTTCAAGTACGGCAGGGAGGATCTCGATGTCCTCGGGCTGACCTTTCGCAAGGATCTCTATCTCGCGGCGGAACAGATCTATCCTGTGGTGCAGGGATCTCAGCCCCCCAGGGAGCTGACACGATTGCAGGAGAGACTGATCAAGAAGTTGGGCAGCAATGCGTATCCCTTTTATTTCGAGTTACCGCCTCACTGTCCAGCCTCGGTCACCCTACAACCGGCCCCAGGCGACACCGGCAAACCCTGCGGCGTCGACTATGAGTTGAAAGCATTCGTAGGTGAAACGCAGGATGACAAACCGCATAAAAGGTACGAATCTCAATTTAACGTGAAAGAAAATCCTTTTGTTTAAGGTTAAAGAAATTCTTATTTAAAGTTTTAGAAAAAAATTTTTTTAAATTCCTTTTTTATGAAATAAAAACAATCTTCGTTTAAAATGAAATAGATTTTATACACATTCTTGATTCAGGATATTTTTTATATTATATAAAAAATACTTTCATTTATGACGATTAATGATCAAAGCGACAATTAATTTAATTAATTACTGCTTTTATCGATCAACTGATTCAACTTGCAGGAGCTGCGTGAGACTGGCGATCAGGAAGATCATGTACGCGCCATCGAAACAGGGCGAGCAGCCCTCGGTAGAAGTGAGCAAAGAGTTTATGATGTCCCCGAACAAATTGCACCTAGAGGCTTCCCTCGACAAGGAGCTCTATCATCACGGCGAGAACATAGCTGTGAACGTGCACATAGCGAACAATAGCAACCGGACTGTGAAAAAGATAAAAGTGTCGGTTAGGCAGTTCGCGGATATCTGCCTGTTCTCCACGGCGCAATATAAGTGCACCGTCGCCGAGGCCGAGAGCGAGTGAGTATTCTCCAGCCAATTATTTTTCCCATCCCTTACCGAGCAACTACGATATCGCACTTTGGCGAGAGAAATTAGAGAAAAATTAAATTAAATTTAAATTCTTTATTATTTCTAGGAATTAATTAAATCTAATTTTTCTAATTTTTTTCGTGTTTTTAAATAAAAATTAGTTTATAAAACAAGCAGAAATCTTCGAGATAATTGTTTTACTTTAGGAAATTGCTTTTTTAATTACGATAAAAATAGTTATAGGTCGAAATTTTTTACGTCAGTAAGCGATTAATTGCTTAGACCATTAATGATTTAGGCGATTGATTTAACGTTGTTAATTATTTACGATTGTCAAAACGTCGCCGACTTAGAGATGTTAAAAGATGTCATTTCTTGAACTATCAGTTCGAGCTGCGATAAAGTTTTAGCAATTTGTACATTACGTAACATGCGCGATAACATGCGAAAAAAGAAGCAAGATTGTAACGAGCAGGAAAATAAGATTATTGCACTGGCAGTATAGGGGTAGCGCCAGGATTCACTCTGAGCAAGGTGTTTTCTCTAAAGCCAACGCTTGCCGAGAACAAAGACAAGCGAGGCCTAGCTCTAGACGGTCAGCTTAAACATGAGGACACCAATCTCGCGTCTAGTACAATGTGAGTGCGAGATTAAGAGCTCGCTGTTTCCCTCATTACTCTCTCACCTTTTCTCTGCCGGATACTAAGGGGGAAAAAAATAAAGATAACGGGGAGGCTGGAAAGCGGCCAAATGCAGGCTCGCGTCGTTTCTCTGTAATGCGACTATAATCACGACGATATCTCATGACGAATGTATAGTTTTTATAGAAATTCATCGTGCTCGAGTACCATAAAGATGAGACGTAGCGGCGACGTGCTCTATCAAATCTTTTTGAAGTAGCTTTATAAAGTTACTAGAAAAGACAGAAATTCATAAAATAGTAATTCGCTTTAATGACGTTCGAGAACGATGGTGAAAAATTTAATTGAATTGAAAGTTAAATTAAAATTAAGAATTAAATTACTTCTTGATTAATATTTTAAATCTTATAAGAAAAATTATTTTATTAGCTAATAAAAGTATAATAAAATATAGCTTTAGCCATGTAAATTCTTCGCTTATAGATCTTTCAAATAAATTCCATAAATTTCATTAAAATATTTGGAAGAATAAATAAAATTAGAAACAAAGACAGAAAGAGCATTAAATTTAATTGCGTTCTTTTTATTCGAGAAGTTTATCACTTCTTTTAACCCTGCTTTTAGCGTTGAGATATTATAAGGATAATAAAAAGTAAAATTTAAAAGACAAGACCATTTTCAGCCTCCCTTTCTTGCTATCTTTTTTTTCTTTTTCTTATTAATGCAAAACAAATGAAAAATGGAATGGCAGTATTCTTAGTGACTTTGTGCTGGGGATTTTTAACGTGGTGGCCTGTAATCACGTATAGATCTCGATCGGTGGTGGTTTCATTTCCTTGGCAAAGCTCCCTCTCCTCACACACGCACTCTCGTTCTTTATCTCCCGCCCCCGTCCCTCTTTCTTTTATTTTAAGACATATATATTTTTAAATTTGTATATTTATATTTTTATTTCAACTTTATTTTTTTTTTTCTATATTAGAAAAAGTATTTTCTTGACATTTTTTATAGTTTCTTAAAATAAATTTCTCTCCTATTAATATACACATGTAAGTGTTTCACACTCTATATATATATCCCTTAGACACTGAAGTACGTAAAGATAAGTAAGTAAAGATTGTCAAGCCCTTGCCCTCATCTCTTGTAATCGTAATTTGTATCGCAGTGTAATGCACAAACTGACATCGTACTATCGTACTATCGCGCGTATATATGTATATGTATATTACAAGATTAAGATAAGTTTAATTTCGTTTATTTATTTATTTACTGTTTTATTTTGATTAGGCGTGAATTTCCGCACAAAATCGAAATTTTGTGAATTTTTTCGGCTCAAAGGAATCATAAAATTATGATTATTATTCTAGATATCAATTAGAATTAATATTAGACAATTTCTATAAATTTTTTCATACAGATAATATTTAAAGTTACTTTAAAAAGACATACATATAAATGCATTTATATATTATTAATAATAAATACAAATTATTAAACTAAATATTAGGAAATTAAATAGAATTAAACATTTTGTCGACGATCTTTACGCTGACAGCGCGATATTAATTTCGCAATTTCGATCCGCACGTGACACGCACTGACACTCATGCTGGTTGTGTGTTCAAATGTCAGAGAGGGATGCCCAGTGGGCCCGGGTTTCACGCTCAGCAAGGTGTTCACTTTAACACCCCTCCTGGCCAACAACAAAGATAAATGGGGGCTCGCCCTCGACGGTCAGCTCAAACACGAGGACACCAATTTGGCGTCCAGCACCCTGTAAGGATGCGATGTCTGAAACTAAGCCTGCAGATACACGCAGACATGCTTAGATTACATCAATACGCCGCGCCGTGTTATTAATCACACATTTAGCGCTCGAAAAAGAGAAAGAAAATACCCATCAAAATTATTCACTAAAAATTTTGCTATTAATGGCATAGCACAAAAAAAAATTTTAAAGTTTCTTTTTATAATATGTTTGAATTTGTACAAAAAATATAAACATAAAAAAATAATAATTATGGAAATAATTTTACTTTTTCATGTAGAAGAATGTAGTCTCTTTTATTAAATACTACTAAACATCATTATAAATTATTGAAATATTGAATAACATGTTTTTATACATAAAATATTTTATAAAGAAAATGATTCTCTTCGATTTATAATTAAATTTCCTAAAAGTTAGACACGTAAACAATAAAATATTCAAATAAAAAAAATTGTAAGAAAAGAGAAAATGATTCAACACAGTTCTTGGAAAAGTCAATGAGAACAAGTACAGCTTTTAGCGCTAAATGCGGGACAAGAATGCGGGCGGTGTCTGTTACATATAACACACATATACACACACGTGTTTTACGCACGCAACGCGCAGCTGAACACGCCTTTGGGAATTTTTCTCATCCGCAACGCTTTTCATACACAACGGACGGGAGATACATGTTGGCTGCCTGTGCAACGAAAGCTTTTCTCAACGATTATTTCTTCGATTTCTCTTTAATTTCTCGATCGATTCATCGAGCGACGAACAACCGGCATTGTCGGGCGACGTGTCATTTTATTTTGCGAAATTCGTATCACTCAGCTTTACTGGAAATAGTCTTTACGTGCGCACGTCTTGAATTCCTTAGATCTATAGATCTCGATATTTTAAAATTTAGGGATCTAAGAATTTTCACAATTTTAGAAGAATTAATAAATGAAATCCATAGATCTTAAGATCCAAGTGACTTTACTCTTTCGATGCCAATTTTTCAAAATCTAACATTGGTTTTTCTTTAACAAGGATTAAAATCAAATTGGAAGTTTTGACATCAGTGCAATTTTGATATCAAAAACTTTTAAAGATTAAATCTTATTATTTTCATATATGTATATATATATATCTCAGCGAAAATTAAATATATTCTTTTTTATATCATTAAACTCAACTAAACTCAATGACTATGATGATGTTAGCATATAAAAATTTTGATAATTAGCAAAAACCTAAACCTTTGTTCATTATTTTTTTCTACAAACATTTCTTGAAATGCATCTACGTTTTAACGGTATTAAAAAGATTAACAAACTAGGATCTAAGAGATTTAGGATACCTAGGGCAAACGTTTAAACCAAAATCCCATCTTCCTTCTGCTTGTGCTTGTTGTTTAAAAATATGGCATCGCCACTGCATTGTGCCTGCATAAAATTGCATGAAAAAATTACAACTTGTTCTTTGCCGTTGCAAAACTATAGTTTTATTGTTGCTTGACTAAATATGTACGTGATTACCGCTTTACATAAATGTTTTATATATATATAATTAAAAACTCTGCTTGCTTGTTTAACGAACAAATCTAATTTAAACTTTTTTTTCCGTTTGCTTTTTTTGTCTTTGCATGATGCTATAACCATGCGTGAGCTTTTACGTGATATTAAGGTTGATCAATGATAATAACTTTATTAATGACGATAAATCTAATTTGTAGCGTGGTTGACCCGTCGCAACGTGAAAACCTTGGCATAATCGTCCAATACAAAGTCAAAGTCAAACTTTGTCTTGGTGCTCTTGGAGGGTAAGTCTCATTTAAATATCTCGAGAAATTCTTTAAGAATTTTTAAACTACAGATTTAATATATTGCATTTCAATAAATTTTAATAGATTTCTGTTATCTCTGATTTATAGGGAGTTAGTCGCGGAACTGCCCTTTATTTTGATGCATCCCAAACCGGAAGAGGAGGAACCAATGCCGTCCACAGCTCGACCAAGCCCTACGCACAAAACTGACAGCGGGGAGGTTCCGCTCGACACAAATCTGATACAATTGGATACGTGAGTAATCTAAAGAATTTAAATTTAAATATAATTTTTAAATAAAATTTTTCACTGTCATAAACTAATAAAACGTAATTAATAAATTATATTTGTTAACAACATTACACCATTTATATATATATTTATATAAGAAACATAATATTGCGTTGTATTTATATAAAAATATATAAATTTAAAATATTATCCAGGCTTGTAAACCATATTTTATTAAGGAAAAAGAAAAATATGATATTTTACATATTCAAGTCTCATTAAGTAACTCGCTGTATGTATTAAAAGAGGTCTGAATCTTTCTTTTTTAAATAATATTCCTGCTTGAGTTATATTCTGCATTTTTCCTATAAGAAAATCAAGGATTTATAAATCGTAATTCTTGAATTTTTTTTTAATTTTTCTGCAGGGAGGCGGATGGCGACGACGATATAATCTTCGAGGACTTTGCTCGTCTGAGGCTGAAAGGCGAAATGGAAGCTTGACCTTGTTCCGCCGATTCCTCATCGATACGTATCGATGCGTTCGATCGTGTGACTCTTACGCCGCCGTGTCGCACACAAGACGGAAACTGCACAATGTCGCCAATGATGCCAATAACAGCGATGCCGCAACAACAGACTTAAACGACGTTATCGTTCAAATTTGTTACTGCGGTATCGCTGCTATCCTCAAGTACAAAATGTCCCCCACACGACGGTGTACGCGGGACATTTTAAGATTTATCGCGTAAGAAAGTTGGGCAAAACGAGAAGAAAAACTTTCGAAAGGGACTCACGTGGGAAAAAAAAGAAGATGCTGCAAAAGAAAGGAATTCCGAGCTGCTCGCTTTTTGCGGGCATTTTCCAGACAGGCTAAACGAATACCCGAACCGGAAATGGCGTCGAGAAAATTCTTCAACAATCATTCGTCATTTTCACTGATTATCGAAGATAATCGCAGGAAATTGAAGTTTCTCTAGTGTTTCTTTTTTTTTTAAGATATCGTTGTTTGTATATTTATTAAAATAATTGAGCCACAATTCATTCAGCCGTTGTTATTTGTGGCGCGTGTTCGTTGTTAGATCGTGGTGGTCTTGATTTGTGGGATAAGTATGCGGCGGTTTTGTGCGATTGACATTTATTACAAGTTTAACACCGTCGCCATTTTACGCTTTGTCTCTGAAGACTGATTTTAGAAAGAAAAAACATCCAAAAATCTAGATGTATTTATTGTGAAACTTTCAACAATGAAAGAAAGCTACTGCAAAATAATACGTAATATATGTGTAAAATGAGATTCGATATTTTTCTCTAAAAAGATGCAAATCGCAATTAATTCAATTACAGTTAATTTATTAATTATATATTACTTCATTTAATAAATATGATAGGTATCACTTAATTCACAATTAATTAGCAATAAATCGTCAGTTAATTAAATATGGGATTGATACAAATTCAAGAACGTGCGAGAGCCTTAAGTTTATAACCACTTTTAGTGATTGTGATTTTTTAAACACGGCCAGTATATACTGTCTTTAAGTTAAAATGCAAGAAGTAAAACTTTGTCAGAGTCTCGCATCGATTTTATCTTATCTATGCAAACAATAAATACATACGATTAGTGCGCGTTGCGAATATTGTTTGCGCAAACAACAAAACAACCGTAAACGCCCATCGAATTAGTTCCAGTAAAAAATTAGTTTACAGTAAATTACAGTTGATGCAGATAAAATTAATTGGTCGCAAAAGAAGATAAAAAAAGTTATTTTATATTTTTGTAGAAAACTGCGATACACAAACTTGATTCTCACGACAACGAGAATAGGAAATTATTATTCCGCGAATCTGTAAGAAATCGATGCTCTAAGGAGTCTACTTAGAAGTGTTTAATGTAACAATTTGATCAAACATTCGCGACAAAACGCGCGGAAAAGAGAAGGAAAGATGACGTTTCAAACCGCAGATGTCAATTCATAGATGTATTTATGGATAATTTGTAGTACTTGGTAACATTGTAAGATTTATAACACTAAAATCCGTTGCATGTTCTCCTTTCCCTTTCCTCCCGCTCCCATTTCTAAAATCATTCAATTGATTAAATTAAGTCGGCGCGAGCATCGTTTATACATAATCGTAAGTATCGATTACGATTGGTACGCGTACTTCAAGACTACTCGAGAATTTAATTTTCGCGCAATGAAATGTCGCGTAATCTCAGCTCGCCCGTATTATAAAATCGTATTATAAAAGTCGTTTAGCAGAGAGTTTGATATCCTAATTAAATGATTGCCTAATTAAATCTCGAACGCGAAGACTTTTGCTACAAAACGACGAAAATCATCGGATAAACTCCGCCATTCGAAATAACAATGTCACAGCAAATCACTTACGATGACTCGTATGTAAGAATTCTCGAAACAAAATATTTTTTTCCTAAGTTTTAAAATATACGATATATATATGATTCTGTCTATCATCTCAAACAGCTTTCATTATTTTTTCTATTGATCAAAATTTATAAATAATTAAAAAATAGAGGAGTTGCATCTTCTCCAAAGTGTAAACCCAAATCATTATTAAATATCTCAGAATTTAATGACGATTTTCATTAAAAACGACGAGAAACCTGCTGTCAACTATTAATTCCAATTTAAAAAAAAAAAAAGTCATGTCAACGATAAACGCGATTCACGTTGGTAACGAAGATTAATTCACGGTGACATTAATTAGAATGACGCGAATTATAAAACTATGGAGGAACAGCATATTATATATGTATATGTATGTATATATACGGAAAGCAAGAGAAGCAAGATAATATTTTTTATCACTTTAGCATTTACAAACTGTGTATTTAGATGAGATAGCTAAACGTGTGGTCCGCGTCTCTTCGTCGCGCGTTTAAGATTAAACGCATGACGAAAATGCAGCCGTATTTTCTCATACCAAAGCCGATATTTCTGTTTCTTTTCCGAAAAAAAGTATTCCTCATAAAAAGCATCAATAGCCAATCAAGAAAGTATAATAAATTACACAATTAATTTTCCAATTAAGTACATTTCCTTTTATCAAATTTATTTATTATTAATATAGAACAAATTATTGATTTTATAAATGTATAAGTTCAACATATATGCAGAAGAGTTATCAAGACAGAAATTATTTCATCTTTGAAAAAATTTATTTTGTATTGAAACAATGAATAATATATATATTTTTTAAATCGATATTTTTCATGGATTCAAATTAAATATTATTAATATTATCCTATCCGTTCATTTAATTACTCTATTATTAAATATCCTATTAGCGGATTTCTCAGAAAGAATCCATTCATTCTTTTACCTCGTTTTCGAATAAAAAAAAGAACGTGCATGTTCAACGAAAGCTAGATATTTAATTAAGGTACGAACCTTTGCAATTGTGCGGCAAATGTCGAATGCCGACACTTCGATTATTATCGCTTTAAGCGACGTGTATGAGTGTGTATATGTGCAGGCTTGTATAATGAGAGTATATTTTATATTCGCCCGCGGACGCGCGCATATTTTTTATATGACCGCAAACGGTAGGTTGTTAACATTTTTATTGTCATCCGGTTAGAAGGGAGGATCACAGAAGAAGAGAATTATACCGCACAAAAAAACCAAGGGAGAGAGAACGAGAGATAATTAAAGTCAATATAAAGGATACCGTCTCTGTAATTCTAATATTCGAGATTGTTTCCTTGCGATATGAAAAAGACCGCGTTATATACAGGGGGCCGCAAAAAGACGACGCAAATTTTATCGATTTATTTCAAGATTATCGAATTAAATCTTCTTTCTCTTCTACTTCAAAAATTTAATTATAATCATTATACGCTCTATTATACGTATAAATTACTACTGATACTAAATACTCCAATATTAATATTTTGCCAAGAAGAATCCTAATGATTCAAACTTTTTAAAGATGGAATACTGATGCGACATTTTTGGGGGATACTCTGTATTTAACAAATAATAGTATCACTGCGATAAGAGAAGTAAACGATTACGCTTCTTCGATACAACATATTTTTTGCACCGGAAAGTTTACATTTCCTCTCGTTTGTATCTCGTTTAACTGAAATCTGTGGAAATAGATAGCCATGGTGTGATTAAACATAAACAGCGAAACGTGTACGTGCTCTTATCAGAATGACTGTATCATTCGACATAGAATGGAAATAGCTTATTGCATCGCGCATAATAATAAATGGTATAAAGACAAAAAGGAGAAAAAAAAATGAACTAAAGAAAATGAAGAAGGAAAAGGATATTATGCGCGCTTCTCTCGAGAGTGTTACTGTAATTAATGTAATCGAGTCGATGTACAAGTGTATTGTGGGGTTCACATTACAGCCGTAATTTACAAATGTAAATCGTAAGAAAGATGACAGAGCCATTATATTGCTACAACTTGTACATTGCACTATAGAAACGATTTATATATTGGAGCCGCGCGTTGTTAGTTAGCAAGAAAATCGTGTGTCGTTCATGATCGTTCGCTGTTCACTCGTGAATAATTCGTTTTGTATGTAAAAAAGATTACAAGAAAGTTTTACTCAGAGAAAAGAGAGAGAGAATGCGAAAGAGTGCGTGTATGTGAAATAAATGACATAAAGCATAAATAATGCATAATATATTGTATATGTAAAAAAATCGTGTGTATTCTCGTATTATAACTAGCTGTAATAATTTAATAAATCCTGTATATCGAAAAAAAAGCACAGACATGAACTGCGTATATCTCCCGCGTATTTTTTTTTTCTTTTTTTTTTTTTAATTTTCATTACACAAAATTTTGCAGATTTTTTAGAGCTGATTCTTTTCTACATCCTTTCTTTACCCAAAGAAGTTTTTCTAAATAATAATAAGAATAATATATAATAAAAAATATTTATGTAACGCGTAACATTTTAACACATAGAATGTATAATAAAATATATATCATCAAATCTATTTTTTTTTATTTCTCATTAATATTATTAAATATATATTAAATTTTACATCATAATATATAATAAGACAGCATACAATATTAAACCATTTTCCAGATTTTTCCAGAAGGAATTTTAAATATAATCGTGATACATTTCACGAACTGCTGCTCGAGCTTTCGGAAGTTATAAAAGTTCCTTAATTAAAGAAGTAACGTGCAATTAACGAAACCAATTGATCTAATGAGAAAGCTTTACCTTGACAAGATGAAATGCACATCTTCCTGATAAAAGTGCATCTTTTTTACCGAAGCGTTTTAGAATATCGCGGAAATTGACAATTCTGTTGAAAATATATAAATTAATATTGCAATATCTCTCTTATTTTAATATTTTTTTACTAATATTTTAAATATAAATTGATGCCTCGACCTTTTGCTGAGGAAAAATTACTCTATATATCCAGATAATATTATAATGAGCAAATAATGCTAAAGCAATATTAACAATTGCCTCTCTCTTAATTTTAACTTCAAAACTAACTCAAACATAAAGAACGAAAGTATTCAAATATCTTCCGCTATTTTCGAAGTAATTCGCAAGCTACGTGGAAAGATGGGAAAGAGCAAGAAGTGAACTAAGAGTAAATTCGCCATTTCATTCACGTAGATACTTTATTCAGATTGAGTCTTTTACGATTTCTCATCATAAATCGCGTTCTAGGAAACAGAAAATCGAAGGAAGAAACTAAAAAGAAACAAAAGACATGTACAACACGACGAGACTCGAAACGGAAAGGAAGCAATCGTTCGCTGAGAAGAGATAAGAGAAAGTTGACGATAATGAAAGGGAAAATGGAAGGGATGGCGGGGAGGGAAAAAACCGGAAGCGAGAGAAAAATGAGAGAGAGAGAGAGAGAGAGAGAGAGCTAGAAAGATGGGGTAGAAGGGCGGGGGAGACAGGAAGGAAAATATCGGATGGCGCGCGAATTTTAACGCGCGTTGCTCTCCTCCGTCTCGCGTTCATCTCCCTTCATCTCACCACGCAGCCTCCGTAGTTCCCTCCTCAGTATGATCCGCGCGGTCCGAGCGCGAGTACGCGTGCATTCCAGCCTGTTATTTAGTTAGTTCCATCGCAAGACTATTTCGTGAAAAAAAATGCCGATATTTGTGAAGAGAATTAAAGTTGAACAGATTTTACAGATTTTTCACGACTACTAAAACAAGCGATTGTGTCATTAAAATACGTTACGCTTTCTCTCTACTTCCCTCTTTCTTTTGACTTTTAGAAAACTTAATTGATATATTTCCATAGAATAATCTTTGTGGAGACATTTACTTGCATCACACAAGTAGGTGAAATAAGTCATCTCCTGTCAGACATAATTTTAATTTTTAATTACTGTTTAATATTTTGCTATCGATTTATTCAAACTTACATAAGTTATAAATTTGTGGAGAGCGTTTATGTTAAACTATTTGCATTAGTTGCCTATTTTATTGCTTCACGAATATACGTATATAACGGCGAATCTATCAAAAGTTTTGCAAAGCAAAGTTGGATTAAATTTTTAACGAGATAATCGACCGCCGCATATAAAAGTGGTGCTCTATTGGTTTTTAAGGAATTTATCTAATCGCATGGTAATTTTTATCGATATTATTTGCACAATAAATATGTAAGATTATCATTTATGTGCTAAAAATTGATGGAGTCGCTGCATTACAAATAAATGTGAGAATTATCGTTACTAACTTTGTGTGAGTACATTGAAGTATAAATTAACATTTAATTCAATTATGCAAATGTTTAATAAATAGAAAGATAATTGAGATGGAGCATAACTTGAGTTCGTAACAATTTCTATCGTAATTATCAATCTACTAATTGATTAAATAGAATTAATTAATTTTTCATTTCATTATTATTTATCTTAATTATAACTTTTGCAGACATTTGTACTGCAAATAGATAAAATAAAAAGTCCTCAATTTGACACACGTTCTGATTTCATATCTAATATCTCGTCGATCCATTTCGGGATTCTTATTTGGATCCTGAGTTTCTCGAGTTTTTGTGCATGAAAAAAGGAATCATGCTACTTTGCTATTCAAATATCGGGCAAACAACTCGAGTTTTAATAAACCCGATGCCCGCGATCCATCTTGAATATCAAAGATTCATATAATACCGTGAGATTCTATGATATAAATTCGTGGTATGCTATGCCAATCGAAGGTGACACGCGACTCTCTGAAATTCAAATTCAGCAGTATTTCTTGGCAAGTTACTCTTAACACCACGTAAACTAAATTACACATAAATAGTTAAACCCTCTTAATTATAAATCTTAAAATTTTATTAAACAAAAACTCGATTATATATTTTTAAATATAAAATTAAATTGCTCTCTCTTTTTTTTCACAAAAAAGTCAATTCTGAATTTATCAGAGAATTTGGGACTGAAAAAGTTATAGAGAAAGATACGATTTCTGGAATATACAGAATATCCTTGAAATAGATCGCCAAACTATAGCAGAATTTACCCTCATACACTCGTGTAATCCTCGATGACTTTTTCTATTCATATTGTCAGTACTTTTGACGGACGTTGTTCCACTCGAACTTTCTTAAAGAATCTTTGATTGACTTCGTGTAACTATGGGGGACATCGTTTATAAACTTGTAACATCTAATAAATTATAACTCGCCAAAGTCGCAAGGTCTCAGGAAGGGAATGGGGGTGACAATTTGTGAACAAGCGAATAAACATTTACTTTTACTCTTTTACCATCTGACAGAATTGTGTCGGAAGAATCGAGGAGAAAAAGAAACTATCTCGATTCGATATGAAACTGTGAGTGAAAATTTCACGGAGCAAGTGAGATATGTGTCTCAGCGCTGCCGGGGGTTCGGAAAATGAACAAACTCCACCGACGGCGAAACGAGAGCGTCGATGGCGTCGAGACGCGAGCGACAGAAATTGGAAAAGTAAGTATACGATCGTATAAAGTCGATCAAAAGCTATTTGCTTTCGAGATCGGTTTACAGATTTTATTCGTCCCGAAGCTGATTTATCTACATCCCTTCGCGCAATCTTATTAAATTTAAAGAAGAAAATATCGAAATAATATTTCACGGACCAATGTTCTTTCATTATATTTTCTATAATCAATTTTTAGATGTAGATATATAAAAAATTTTATAGACTCAAATAATATAATTTTTTATAAAAAAATATATTTTGTTATAAATACGCAATTATTATATTTAATGATAGATATTTTTTATATTTTTACTTTATTCTTTTTATTTTTTTTTTTATTTTCACTAAAATTACTGTTAGAGTTGAAAGTAAAGCTAAGGCTCTAAAAATCAAGATACTATAAAAATCCATTAAAAAATATAAAAGCAACTGTGAAATATATTAAAAGTGTATCACTTAGCTGTGCAAAGAAGAAAGTTCTTTCTATTAAAGCGCATTTTTAAGTGCTGTCACTTATGTAGGTGCAATTTGATTAGTTGCGACTATACGCTCTCATTAATTGCGATCCTTCTATCGATCTCATTGCGATACGATGATGCCTTCAACATCTTCATATAAGCCGTTTACACTCGATAGAAGGCCGACATTTTATTAAACGAATCGCGCGCGATGTCCGAGACCTGTTGCTCTTTAATATCGTGCCATTTTTTTAAATAATAGACATTTTATTTGTTTTATTTGATTTTCTTTTGTCTTATTATTGCTATCATATCACTCATATCACGTATATATATCTTATTTAGTAAAAACATTTATATAAATAAAAAAAGATGTGTTAAATTTAAAATTATGCATTTTACAGGAATGCAATGCAAATAATACTACAAATTCCAATATTTTTTGTCCTTTGAAAGCGGACATAATTAAATTACCATCGACTTTCCCTTGGGTTTCTTCTCTTTTCTCTCTATCCCTCTTGGAAAAAATTAGCGTGAAACATTCAATAATTGTGATTAAGTCACGTCATTCTGCAGAAGAGATCAATAAGTTCCGCGTAGAGGACAAACTTAATTATTTATCTGGAAATTCTGATATATCGGAGCAACGCCAAAGTATTCGTAATATTTCAAGGATTTGACGAGAGAATTGATATCAATTTAAAAAAATAAACAGCTTAATATATTATTTAATACACATTATATGACGGGGATAAAAAAAAATAAAAGGAAAACAAAAATGCGATTTTAATCAATCATCTTATAGTAAATTTCACAAATAAAAAATAATCACCTAATCTCAGCGCGTTGCTTTTATTTTAATATTCAAAAGTTGGATTTATATTTTAATATTCAAAGTGCTGCTGGAGTTTTAACGCCTTAATGGACGACAAACTTACCAAGGTGCAAAACGTGTTCAAAATAACAGAGATAGTTTACGTTAACTTAGCTCACGCTAGAGTGTCAGACCGTGATATTTCTCGCCGCTCAAGAATATTAATGAATAGACAACACAATTAATAGCGCAATATGTATATGTATATCGACTTGATGGGAAAACGACAATCTAATTAATTAACGACGTACTTTGCAAAGTAAACACAACTCTGCGACTACCGTTTTTCAGGGGAATCGTTTGCATTTTCTAATTAACAATTATTCCCCAGCTGACAAGTCGTGCTGTCATTGGCCTTTAGAGGCATCGGCAGTCATCGCGGAGCCGTGTCACTTTCCACGCGGGACCGCTAATAAATTACATCCGTACATCTCCTCTCTCTCTCTCTCTCTCTCTCTCTCTCTCTCTCTCTCTCTCGAACTCATCGGTATACCGGCACGTCCGTCGGTACGATGCACTTCAACCGATGCACTTTCACGGATCAAGCCACTTAGGGCGCCGCGCTCTTCGGCTTCTCTTCGGAACCAAAAAGCGCAACCCGGATGGATGCAATTTTGAAATTAAATTCGAAGAGGAGCTTCAAGGTGCAACAGCTCCAGGATGAAATATCTCCCGCTAGACATTTCCTACCGTTATCTTCAAAAAATGTAATTTTTTATAAAACTTCGTTGCGTACACGATTATTTATCTCTTATCTCTTTTCCAAGCATATGTATTCATTATAATTAATTACTCGCGCATCTCTCTCTCTCTCTCTCTCTCTCTATCATTATTAATATTAACAAATACATCATTATGCTAATAATATTAACAGAATTATTATAATATACTGTAATATTAATAAAAAAAAATAATAATAATTAATTTACTGATTTATGAGAGATCGATGAATACTAAGTATTTAAGCAAAATAGTATATCAAGGATGTATATTTTTGGAGCTCTTTTTACGACAGTAACACATGTTATTAAATACAGTCATGTTTATTTTTATACACGGAATATTGAGATGCGCGAACTTTCTTAGATATAAATAAGTCAAGCTGCACTCTTGCGAGTTGCAATATTCCATCATGACCATAATGCATCAACTTTATTATTCATGCTGTGCATTAACGCATCGTTATCAATTTTCCGCATAAACTCAAACGGAGAGAAGCCGAGTATATGCTATTGCTTCTACGTCTTTCCTTTCTCTTCCTCGGTTTCCGGTTTATTCGCAAAAAATCTGCGCGTTTGCGATGATCTAAAATTTTAATTTCGCTAATTACAAAATGCAAGTTGCGAATGGATTTTGCATGCCAAATACATAGACTTTTCACAGAGAGGAAACTCTACGGTACTAATGTTAAAGAGTCATTGATCGTATATTTATTATAAAACAAAAATTATATATATATATATATCAATTACTATCAGGTGATTGCATAAGTTCGTGCCCGATTTAAATATTTAATAATAAATTTTTTTTTTCGAAAGGCAATCTTTATTTTTATAGTTAAGATTAACTTTGTAACTATTCTTAACAAGGTTTGTCTCTAATCTTACGTAAAAATATCGACAACACAATTATATTGATCCGTGATTAAAAAAGACGCGCAGTGCAATCAACTGATTTACTCGCGTAATCAGCTGATAGTATCAGCTGATCTGATATACGCAACGTATCAGAATTTCGGAACATTACAAAAAAATAATCGTATTAATAAAATATCAGAAAGGCCACGTTTTTTAATTTTTATAAGTGTATTATAACATTTATTATTTATTATTTCAGTTTTAAAAATATTTGATTAATATATTTAATTGTCTAACTTTTTAAACGTCTAAACTTTTTAAAAATTTTAAGAGAAATATATAAGAAATTTATTGGATTAAAATGGAGTCTATTATTTCTTTTTAGATTATTTTTAGGAATACCTTGAACCGGCATAAGGACGTCGTTCCAGCCTGTTTCGTATTGCATCGATCGTGACTGGCGGTACTAATCCCGAGGACTCCTTCGAGACTCGTCATGCTGGTCCCGGAGGGCAATTTTACATCCTGGGTCGGCAACTGGACGACGATCCTGCACCAGGTGTCTTGCAACGACACCCTCGGTGGCTGCGCCGGCGAGTGCGATACCGCTTCCGGCGAATTCGATTATCTCTGCACCACAATCGGACCATGCAGTAACTTAATGCCATCTATGAAAATCGGGCACGAACTTATGCAATCATCCAATATATTATAAATTTATGATTCTTTTTTTATTTTCTATTAACGACTCTTCTAAATCATAAGTTATTTTTTGATTCAAAATTGATGATTTTTGAAAAACACACATTGTTCAAAACCGTAAAAAGATGTCTAAATATTAGAAAAAAGAGAGAGAGAGAAAATCCATTTTTTGTACAAATTTTAATTTTGATTTCCACGTTACAATTTGCAACAAATGACAGAATCGGATAACGCGCGTCGTTGGCAGGCAAACTTGTCGATGCGGCAATTTGTTCAGGGATCAGCATTGTCGCGAGGTGTGTGGAGAATATACGGAAGAAGGCTGTCGATATCCGGTACGTCAGTTAATCCAACCGGTTAGGTCGCGCGAGTGCCGGCAGATAAATAGCGGTCTCCAAAGGGGATGACACTTTTGTAACTCTCCGTTTAAAATATCCAAAGAGAAAGAGGGAGAAGATTTGCGCGCGTCCGATCTTACACCGATTTATCGATGTCCCCGATAAGTCTACGAGCCGACGTCTCGTCCTTTGTTTGCCTGGGAATAGCGACGCTTTGTCCGCAAGATTTCGCTTGCAATCAACGCGCAAACAGTCGCCACCCCATCCACCATTCTGACATCGTTATCGCTGTGAATATCTGAGGATAGAGAAACCGATGACAAAGCCCGCCTCGACCTTTGATAATTAAAAAGGAGCGGAAAAAGTGCACGCCTACTTTCCAGAAAAATTAATCTAACCCGCGGATTTAGATTTTACGGATTGAGATTTCGAAGGCGCAGATTCAGATCTTTCAAAAGTCCGGATCTTCGGATTTTAATGAATACTGAATTAAATTAAATGTGTATAGTATACATATAATTGGCATTTTTTTTTAATAAAAAAGTATAAAACTTCTGCTAATGTAAAATATTATAAACAAAGAGAATTTTTATTTTAAATATTTAATAATAAATTTTTTTTTTCCTCCTCTTCGATGACCCTTTTTTGCACGCCCTGCGATTACGCGAGTTGCAACATCAACGTGTCCTTGCTGCTCGACAGCCTCGAGAGCATCGAGGGCGTCTTTCTGTCTAGGATACCAATGAGAAATTGCAACGCCACGTCCTTCGACGAGGAAGTAGGTTCTTAGAGAAGAAAGATGAGGCATCGAAATTCAAGAGGGGCTTTAAATACAAGGATTTAAAATTCGCATAATTAAACTTGTACAAATTTGAAATTGAAAGCAATTCTCACTTTTAAAATTAAAATCTTAAAGAATTTGTAGAACTCAAAAAGCACTAAAAGTTAAAAAAATTTAGAAGCAGAATATATATATTTTTCATAGTTTTTAATTTATCATTGAGCCTTCAAAATTCTTTGAAATACAACTAAAAAATGTAAATATCTCAAAAAGTTTAAAATTTAAAATTTTCTTCTTTTCCAAAAAAGAAAAAAAGATTTTAATCTAAGAATATATATGATACGTTCAAAAACTTAAAATTTTATCGATTTCTATTACAATATCATTAACAACAAAGAAATATCTTTAAATCTCAAATATGCTCAGATATTTGAAAAACAATTGTCTCCCTTAAAATGACAAAACTTACTCGATTTTCGTCTCGAGATAGGTGACACGCAAAGATCTTCATCCGGAGCGAAAAATGATAATTCAGTCTCTTTAAGAGATTGTCGCCTTCCGTGTTGACATTTCCGCAGATTCCGGCTATTCATCTCGAACAGAAACGGCGATACATAAAGCCAAATGTTTTTCGCAGATTCTTGAATGTTCGCCGGCCGGCGGTATCGCCGATCTAGCCTGCATTCATCGATCCAGGATCGGCAGCACTGCCGGGACGAAGACGCGTCGCTTCGATTGGAGCTTCCTGTTCGTGGTAGTCTTCATAGTCGCCGGCGGTCTCGGCAACATATTGGTCTGTCTCGCCGTGGGATTGGACAGGAAACTCCACAACGTGACCAACTATTTCCTGTTGTCGCTGGCGGTGGCCGATCTTCTCGTCAGCCTCTTCGTCATGCCTCTAGGTGCCATACCGGGCTTTCTGGGTGAGATTTTTTTTTTTTTATTATTATTATTTCATGCCCGTTCCCCAAATCTGAATTTTAAAATTGTTTCCCTTTAATTTTCTGAAAGAGAAAGAATTCACAGTCTCTCGTCCGATTGAATGACACAAAAATATATCTCGGAAATATCTTCAAGTATCTCAATCGGAAAGAAGAGAAACGAGAATCTCGAGTGGGACGGAATAGAATGAGGCGGAGAAGGGGAAAGAGGTAAAAAGGGAATTTTTCAGCGGAATTTCACGGATTTTCCGCCGAGCGGATAATAGACGCGCGGTGAAACGGAGCGGAATCTACAAGGACTTGCGCACGCGCGCGATCGGATTACGCACGTAATACAATCCTGGCTTAAGACGTCGCGATATACGGCGGAACGACACGGAAATGAGAGACGACACGCACGGAGGGTGTCCGCCTTCCGGTCTCGTGCACGCCGTTGCGAAATTTCATGTATAACACAACCGGGTAATATGGCTGTGCAGTTATAATGCTGTTAATTAAGTACAAAACTGCGTCATCATCCTTGTAAAAATTAATTGAAAATGTGACGTGACAACTGAAAAATTGACGCTTAAATTCAGAATCATCTCTCTCTTGGCCCCCTGATGCAATTTATTAAAAAGCTTGAAGATCATTTCATCAGCCGAGAGATCTAATCACTGTGCGATTGATTTCTACCGCATTAATTTATTACTCCACAGCTCTAAGTTTAATTAAATAAAGTTCACGATTACATCTACTTTCAAAGCGATGATATAATTTGAAAGTTAACGATTAAATCAAGAATCATTTCTACATTTTTAATTATGACATGAGAGAAATTCATTAATTTATTTCATCAGCAAAGAGAAAATTATTTCATTAACCGTTAAATTTTTTATAATGATCTTTGACGCATCAATCTATAGTAAAGTTGGGATGATCTCTTCTCTTCCTAAATTTATGAACAATCGATCGGCTGGCCACCCTCGTGTTTCTTTCTCCCCTTTTCACTGTCCAAGGAACGACTTTATCCACGGGTTTTCGCGTCACGTGCCCGCGCTTCAGGTCCATCCTTCACGTGGAACACGTCGACGACACGCGCGGCATTAGCGGACTCATCGTCGAGGCTCGTTTATCTCGTGTACGAGACAGCTTTTGCTCCGCGACCTGGAAGGAGTAATTTCCAGGAGCGCGCATCAAGTCCTGGAGACTAAAAATCCGGTACACGTGACGCGCCATTCGATTTTATCGAGTCTTACGTTAATATGAAAGGCCGGTGTGAAACATTAAGGGAATTTTCCATCTTCGCGAGTCCCTCGCAGATCGTCGATTCTAATACCATTGTGGAAATGACGGTGAGATTCGCAAAATTTCCCTCCCGGGAAAAATATTTGTAAGAGCGATCATCCTCCCGAGTTTTCTGATGCCAGGTGTGAGTCTAGTGTAGTCATTAAATCTAAAATATCTGAACCTTTGAACTTTGACACTTTTAGATTTTGTAATCGCGGATTTAAATCCCAAATTTTCCTTGTTTGAGAAACTTTGGACTCTTTTGCGAACTTTAAATGCCGGAATCTGTAATGTCTGTCTCTTTTAAAAGAATTTGATCAGAATTTCGTTATTAGATTTTCTTCACCACATACACATTTATACGCAGAATAATTTGCAATTGGTGAAATTTTAGAGTACAGATTTCTCTATTAAGTCAATCACAAAGACATAGAGATACTAATCAATTATGGAAGCTTCTTTATCTCGCGACGCAAGAATTGTAATAATTGTATAACAGAAATAGAAAGTTCAGTTTGTTTTGCAAATATTTTATATAATAAATGTACTAGAATATAGAAATAAATATAAAATATTATTATAATAAATATTAAAATGCTTATACTGAAATATGGTTTATACTAGTCTTCTCTCTCTCTCGTCTCTTAAAGACTAGTAAACAAGAATTAGCGCTTTGGCAATATTACGCCGAATAATTCTCAACGTCCTTGATCCGATTACAGGGTGTCATGATTATGGCGCTAATTAATTCGCGTTTCGACTGAAATTGCGAGCAACGAAGCACGCCGTATGGCCATTAAGTACTTTCGAGTGTCCAATCTACGTCGGCACGAGATGACAGCCTACAATTATCCTCGCGATGACGCGTCCTATCCGTCATAAATCGTAATGAAATTGGCGTCAAGCACATCCTCAAACTTTCGGCACATTTGATTACAAAGTTTAATCAGTAATTTATGATACTGTATAAACGATCTAGAAAAAAAATATAAAGCTGAAGAAATTTTAAAAAATTAAATAATTTTCCGCATTTGTAGAATCATATCGTATAAAATACAAAAGAATAATTGAATAATAATGATTTAATGCAATTAGATTTTATTTTATTTTTATTTTACTGATCGCACGTTTATATTTCATTGATCGTTGTAAAACAAAAGGGGTAGCAGAGCAAAGTGTCAGTCAGCATCCGTTGGCGAACGCGCTGGAATCGGCGTAGAACCGAATAAAGCTCGCGCTTTTTTTCCTTGCTCCCGTTACACTCGTTAAGCTGCGCGGTTCATTTCCGACGTTTGTTCTCATACGTTCTCCGTCGGATATAGATGACTAGAAAGTGTGCGCATTGTGAGCACCTTGTTAGAGAGATGTGCGCGCCGGCGCGTGGCAAGTGCCTTTGTGGGGCTGAAATTGGCAAACTCGCTGCCCCAGAACAATGCGAGTGTTTCGTATTCAGCGACGTATTCACATCTTCCGGCGCGAACTGAAGGGGCGGGAGGGGAAGGCCCTCTTTTACATCCCGATTCTTTTTCGTCAATGCGCTCTCGCGAAAAACCTCACGCAGTTTTGAAGCGGCTAACTTACTAAACTTTCTCTTTGAGAACGAAAGAAAGTATAGTATTATATATGTACAGAATTGATAATAATAAGAATAACAATTGGAGTGTTTTTCTCTTTCTCTCTTTCTCTCTCTCTTTCTTCGCAAATTATTTAAATTGAATAATACGATTTGTGCAAATCCAATGTGGAGAGAAAGAAATTTTTAATGAGATTTAGAGACAATTTTATCTATAATTTTTATTGAATCTTTTTTCTCCATTTTCTATTCGTGTTTTCTTTTCTCGTTTATACATATTTCAAGTTCCCGAATGTTGCTCGAATTTTATTCTTGCCCCTAGCGTTTTTCGTGTGTGTACTTAAATCTTTATTGCAGCGTGTCTGCTCATCAAGGCGCGCTTTAATCTGTTACTAATGAAATTCCTCGTAACATAGTCTTTGCGAGAAGATCTTAATATAATGCGACTATATGCAAATTTTTGGGGTTACTATGCGCCCTCAGAAATTCTACGCTTCTCGTCTTAATTTTCACAACGAGTACAATGCACGACGCGCGGACTAATTAAGTTGATTATTTCAACCGAATTATAATATTTGTGATAAGGGACTGATTAAAAGAGGATACCGTATCTCAAGTTATTCATCTCCTTCATTTACGGTTCGTTAAATGTCAATTATACTTAGCAATAATAATTAGAATTAGCATTAGAATTTGCCTAACGGGAGATATATGAGAATAAGAGATCTTGTAAAATAAAAAATTATTCGAAACCTCAAGGTTCGCAATTGACAGTGATCGCGCAAATCATCATTTCAATCTGTGATCGAAGATCTAATTAATTACAGACATGTATTTATAAATCGTCATTAGACTTTATCGACTTCATCTTTGCTTCGCAAATCATCTGTTTGAAGAATCTATCATCGCACAATATAGTCGCTCGCTGTTTGCTTAATCCTTGGAATAATATTGGGTTCGTTGCATACGAAATATTGGATTCCGAAAGTTCCAGCTTTATGACTTTTACTAAATAAACATCCTGCGAAATAATCAAATATCACGTGATGTGACGAAGTGATATAGTTCTTTTGCAAAAACACTCCTCGATTTTTTTTCAAAATATTTTTTTTTAGGTTATGGCATATTTATTAAAAAATATAAAAAATTATATATTATTAATTGACATTAAAAAAAAGTTACAGGTTACTTAAGAATTATAAATTTTCGCGAGAGAAATAAACACGGCTATTCTTCATCGAACCACAAACGATCGAATACAGCCCCCGTTCGTAGCGTATCGACGGATACGTTTTCCACCGCGAATCTTTGAAGCGACAAAAATACATCACCGACTCGTAGAATCTGCCCGTGCAAAGTGACGGTTTGTGTAAACGCATTTCCGACATTTGACGTCGTTTGATGTGATCCTATTCACCACGTGGATGCATCGTGCGATCCACAGCTGCGTCTTTCTCTCCCTCTATCCGCACGTTACAATAAGGACTATTCTCTTAAGTTATTTTTCCATTAGTCTCTTGCGCACGAAAGGAACGTACGTCAGGAATGTTAAAAATGCTTGACGAAAACCAAAAATCCAATAGTGATATTACGACACATCTGAATCCTTTCTCGTCACATATATCTCTGTAAATGAGTAACCCGCTCAAAAAGACCGAGATTTGCCAATAATTAATTCTTTCTTTTGAGATTTTTTGCACACGTGAGATATTCTACGAAAATTGGGAAAATTATGCAAATATTTAATTTGCTTAATTAGAAAATTTTAAAAGAAAATAGATTATAATGTAAATTAAAATGAAAAATAAATTATATGATCAATTATTGTCTCTCTCGATTAATTTCTCTTAATATTATTTCAACTATTAGTTGTTCAACGATTCGATAATTCGAGATACGATTGAAACTTGATAAAGCTCAAGTTTCTTTTTAACAATTTTCGAGTTGATTTCTTTTTATATATAATAAAACTTTATCTTTTACATTTAATTATACATATATATAAATGCATGGATATTATTTATATAGAGCATTAAAACAAGCTTCAATAAACGCGCGCAAACTCCATTTCCTAACGGTATGGATATATAAGAGGATTTGAAAGTAAGAGAGCCTCTCAATTTAATAAATCGTTCGAAATCGACCGATCATTTCACGCAACTCGGCCTACAAAAAGCTTAAGCTTTTCGGCTTTCATGAACTTTCCAGGATACTGGCCGTTCGGAGTGGTGTGGTGTAACGTGTACGTGACATGCGACGTGCTCGCGTGTTCGGCGAGCATAATGCACATGTGCTTCATCTCCCTGGGCCGTTACCTGGGCATCCGTAATCCGCTCAGGACACGTCACACGTCTACGAAACGGGTGGTGGGCTTCAAGATCGCCGCTGTCTGGTTGCTGGCTATGCTGGTCTCCAGCTCCATCACGGTATTAGGTAAATTATTATTACATTCTTCTCCACATTTCCCCATTTATTCTCTCTTTCTGTCTCTTGGAGGGAGGGTGTAAACATGCCCCGATATGGACCGACACGTATTTTGTAAAGCGAGCGAATATGAAGGTGCAAACAAACCCCAAAGAATCGCGTTCGAGAAACGGGAATTGCGTTTCTGCGCTTCGATGTTTGCCCATTTATAGAGTATACAACTCCCTTTATTCCGGATAATTCTATTCTAAAGAAATTTAGGACAAATCGCTACCATACAGTCGTGTTTATCCATTAATCTTCACATTTTGTGGTGATAGAAAGACTCCTTTAAGGATCTTTATTTTTCCTTATTTTTGAGAAAAATATGAAGAGAGTCTAGGGAGCAGATGCGAGAGATATCTCGAGGAGAGACCTCGCGATTTTTACAAGCTTTCCGCGAGATAAAGAATGAAAAAGTAATGACGCGACACCGTATAATAGACATAATGCACATTTATCAGGGCGCAATATTTAGGCTCTCGGCCGTTTTATATCGATAATATTGCATTACGCAAATAACTCAATAAAAATTACGCAATGAAAATTCTGATTAGCCGAGTTATACAAATTTCTCAGAAATTTCGCGTAAAACTCCGCTACTACCTCTCGACAAGATCGATTGCGCAAAGTTGATCGAGTTTAAATAAGGCTCGATAATAATTTTCCCTTTGACGCAATTGTTATCGTGTTACAATTTCAAAACAAACTTTAGAAGAGCAAATTCTCTCAGAGAATACATCCATGCAGCTTAACGGATAATCAAGAGCATTTGAATCGACAGCTGATCAGAGAATGGGATAATCGAGAAGTGTGACAAAAACTCAAATAGCCAGAATCTCGTTCTTTCAGGCATCATCAACCCCTCGAACATCATGCCGGAACCGAGGAAATGCGTCATCAATAACCGAGCGTTCTTCGTGTTTGGTTCCCTGATCGCCTTCTACATCCCCATGATCGTTATGGTAACGACTTACGTGTTGACGGTGCAGCTATTGCGCAAGAAGGCGCGATTCGCAGCCGAACCGGAGGGTAATCACATTCGTAGATTGGGCGGCAGATACGCATCCGCAAAAACGTCATCATCTACGGCGTCATCATCGTCCGCAATCACCACCATGAGATCGTCCTCTTCGTCGGCGAGACTGATACGTACTTCCGGTTGCAGCGCTGAAAAGGAAAGGTGAGAATTAGAGAGATACTTTCATAAAATAAATAATGTAATAATAATTATATATGACAATGTAACTTAAAATTATATTATAATTAAATTATAAATTAATAACAATAATTATTATATA